ATCGATAGCATTCGATCTGCACTAATAAGGACTAGACAAGGATGACATTGATCACCACCCAGTGATTAATCAACTGTGAAACAAGATTAGTAAACAAGATAAAAGACTGAATTCAATGAGGAATGTACTTGTAATGGAAATTTTGTGTTATTTTAATGTCCCCGTCAATTGTATAACATATTCAGATAAGATAACTGATTTGAACCGTTGAATGTATTATCTATTGATTAGTTAATATGATATAGACAGATCAAATGGAATAAGGAGTTCAGGTTTACTTAGTAATTATTAGTTGCCGTGGGACAGCTAGTTGTATTCTATCGCTCCTATTAATACTGTATGAATTAGCCCATATATGTAGGGCTTCGGCTGTTAGTCGTTCTTTGTAAGAATTAAAGCCTTTTTGAATGATTCTCGTGCCATTGAACTCAATTGTATGGCCCGATTCAATCGAGTGTATGTATTCAAAAAGAGACAGTCATAAAGTTATTACTATCCTGGTAATCCCATTTTTGTGCGTGTTTTTTTTCGTTATTAGTTTTTATTCCTCTCCCATTACCGAATTCTTAAACCACCCTTTCACTTACACATTTCCGCTCACTTGATTCTCTATTCAGTTACTACGTAACCTAACTTATCAATTTTTTAACTCCATAAATTCTTTATTACCTTTATAATTATCACATAATTTACCTTATCTGTCTCCGAACTCCACTATTACATCAGCCATCCTTAATGTTTCCTCGATTCCAACACCTATATATATATATATATATATATATATATATATATATATATATATATATATGTCAATTGTCCCAAACTATTTCTTATCTCAATGTAACATTCTAATACATATCAGTGGTCATAATCAGCTGATGAGAAACCACGAAATATAATGAATTCACATTATTCTGCATCAGTATTTGTTCTGGGTTTATTTAAATTCATAAAGGGAACTAATTGCATGAAACACCATTGGATGCCGGCTCAGTGGTCCAGTAGGTCAAGTATTCGCACGCCAGAGTGAAAGCTCTGGGTTCGAATCGCGTGAGCAGGATCGTTAATGCGCACTACTAAAGAGTCCCACAATAGAACGAAACGATCTTTCAGTGGTTCCACGTTTTCAATGGTGGTCTTATATCAATCGATTCATGATCTCATTCTCCACAACTTCTATACTCAAAACATTGAATCATTTGCTTAATGAAAATATATAATTTATTTGATTAATTAGTTTATCAAAACAATGCAAATGAAGTTTTTTACTTTTTGGAGAGAATAAAAAAACAAAAAACAAAAAAAACAAACAAAAGAAGGTTACATATCAAACAAGTAAGTGATTTAACTCATTTGATTTCATTTACTAAACAATGAGATACATTCAATTAAACAAATTCTCTAAGTAACCAAACCCCCCCCCCAAAAAAAAGAAGAAAAAAGTATGTCTTGACTAAAATGAATATTCCATCAAAAATCAATTCAGTTTTCTTTTTTTTTCTATTTTTTCTTTTTTTTTAGAGAAAAATGAAAAAAACATTTTTTCTTCTATAAACAATTTGATTCATTTAACCGTTAGCAACAAAGAGACTGAGTTTTTTTCCCTCCTCCCCTTCTTTTTTTCAAAATAAATATGAATTACAATATCCATGTGAATGTTCAAAAAAAGAGAAAAAAAAGAAAAGAAAAAAAGAAAAAAAGAAAAGAAACTAATAGTCATTGAAGGTCAATGATGAATAGTTTTTTTTGTTGTTTTGGGTTTTTTCTCTTATTCAGTTCCATTAATTTTATTGTCGTCATTTAATTTTAACCATTTTAATTCTGTATTTTTCGTACGATTATGTTTATTTTCAGCTTTTTGTTTTAAATTATAATATAATAATTGTAATGAAGCAAATAATGTTAAAATCATTTTACCATTTAATTCTTCAAGATGTTCCGGTAATGTGAATACACGAGCACCAGCTTTATGACAGCAAGATATAGCATATTGACGTATAGATGCATCGTCTACATTATTACCTAACCATATTTCTTTATTTGTTGAATTAGGTTTAATATGTTCTAATAATTGTAATATAGGTATACCAGTAGCTAATGCTGGATCACGAAAACTATGAATTGGTTTAGCTTTAGCTTCATTCATTTGTCCATTCACCCATGTTAATATATCACGATCATCATGTGGAATATCGATACCACCTGGAGTAACCTAAAATAAATAAATAAACATGAATTATCAGAAGAGATTTTGTGGAGATTTTAGAGACTGATAGGTCCTGGTTTCGAATCTCGTGGGTGCGGCGATCGTGGACGAGCACTGCTGAGGAATCCCATACCAGGACGAAACGGCCGTGCAGTTTTCCAGGTTTTCCATGATGGTCTAGCTTCAAATGACTCATGATTTCAATCAGTGAAATATAAATTAATTTATCTACTTATAAAACATAATGGATAAAATGAGTTTTAAATGGTTATATTATTGTGATGTGCAGTGTCCCAAAATCTTATATTGATGCATGATATGCTACGCAATAACCCTCACAATTGACTACTTGAACGAAAACACAAGAGTGAGCGAAAAAGTGTGTTGAACCACTGAATGAAATTCACAAATAATTATTCATATATATATACTAGTCTATCCTTGAGAAATTGACCCATTTTAACCACAAGGAAATGCACTTCACCTCTGGGTCAGTTCTGATTGCTATCGATTGACCTTCTCATTAGGCTACTTCTGGTTAACTCTCCATATAACCTTCCCTTCTGAAAAATAAGTCCTGCAAACTGGATTTAACTGAAAGTGTTGATGGGTTTGGCTGACTGTATCGATCAGATAATCTAGTTGCATATTCGAGCTAGGAGGTCCTTTGTCTGAATTTAATCGTCTGCCAAGGATGCCATTTTCATGTCGCGTCAGGCGCTTACCTCAAACATCAAATTCGTACATTATTTCACCTATTCTTCTTACGATAACGTCTGCTACCCATGTTGATCCCTAATGTGGTAAGTTTCTTACAAATACTGGTAACTCATTAAGAAACTGCCATTAAATCTCTGCCAATTGGGTTTATAGTCCCGTCTTATTCTCCGTGAATACACTCTATCCGATGAAGTCTGAACCTTCCTTCGGAACATTGATTCAGCAGAGGAGACACCATTAAGTGAGGCGGAATTCGAGGTTGTTTTGTGTGCCTTCAAGAAATTCTGGATGACCTCCTCCGTTGCGCCCTCCCCTCGTGACTTGATGAGAGCTCACTTGAAGGTATTGACGCAACGCTCAGCTAGGCCTTTTGACTGGGATGGTAGGACGATGACAGAATGTGTGTAATCGCGTTCTTTAAACGGAGGTTTGAGAGGATTTCTGATATGAAGTGAGATCCCTTGTCTGTAATTACTGTTACCGGAAAAATAAGCTGCCCGAAAGATCTATTCAGAACCGTTTTTCGTAAGGTCAATGAGGTGCGAGGCATTAAATAAATTTCTGGCCATTTTGTAATTGAGTCCTTGATAGTAAGAAAGTTTTGACCGTTTATTAGCCCATTAAAATCAACGTTAACACGGGACTATGACTTTTCTACACTTGACCATGGAGATGACTGTAATTTCGGTGGCAGTTTTGCGGCTTGTTCACATTTTGGACATTTTACGAGACACAAAATGTCCTTATCCATCAATGATCGATATACATAGCTGCGTGTCAGTGATGTCATACGCTGCAAACCAGAGTGATCTAACTGGAGTTATATCATTGTACCATGAAAGGTAACCTTAGCATTCGTGTATTCTCCAGAAGGTGTTTATTCATATTTATTGATCACTTATTAGCTTGTATTCAAATACATGAATTATTATATACATGGTATTTGTTGATATGAGTCACATAAATTCACTACGTAATCTACATATCAACACATTTAAACGTAGGCATTGAATTTACATGGGTTCCATAACTTCATTTATCAATTAACACATTATTCACCTAAGTAAACTGTAGTTGTTTATTTAGCAATCAAACATAGGGCCAAAAACACAAACAAATATTTACCAAACCGTTGTCAAGTTCTACTTGTATGTTATTAGGTTTCATAATATGATGATAGTGAAGTAGTAATTCAGTGTGTACTATTGTAATGAACAAGAACACAAGTGGAGACAGTTGAATGTATTTGAACATAAAATATTACAGAATGTTTTATTAAAGTCTGTGAACCATACAGTAAATACTTCATTTGCAAAATGTCAATCTCAGACTTCACTGTTCCTTCGTTTCCACATCAACCATTCACTGTTCTTAGTCTCTTCTCTTCGATTTTCTTAACCTTCTACCGCCAGATATTTCACTTTTGATTGATGATACATATTACTTATATCTATCGACAGTAGCACACACTGTCCAAATTAAATTATGTGACACCAAAGCCTAAGTTATAGTCTGAGTTATTTATAGCGGTTATTATATAAAACTAAATGACACTAGAAGACAAATAATTGTCAAGGTACATAACCAGTAACAATACTTATCATCATTAATTATGGTAACGTTTGAGATAGAAATCAACAAGGAATTTATCGATTATTAATTAAATGAATTCCATTAAGTCTATTTACATTAATTAAGTTCATATATGAAAAAAATCTCTTTGAAGTACTTGAATTTCACTGTTATTGATTAAGTGTGTGTGGAGATTATTAAGTTTTTTTGATTGAGATCATGAACCGATTGACACTAGACCACTATTGAAAACCTGGAAGCACTGGACGGTCGTTTCGTCCTGTTGTGGAACTCTTCAGCGGTGCGCAACCACGATCTCACTCGCGTGTGTGTCATTTACGTCTGAATTTAGTGATACCATCATTATATACTTTGAAGCTAAATGAAATCTTCAGTATGCCTTGAAATATATTTCAAATATCATTTATCTTCTTTCCATCTCGTAACCACATTGTTTATTCAAACTTTCAGCAGACATTAAGACATATTCTCCGTATTTTTTCATCATTCTGTTTACATAATTTTCAAAGCATTCATGTTTTTAGTATGGACATTGATAAATATAATTCAGCTTAAGCAAATATGGCCAGTGGCCAGTAGTAGAATCCAGTTTGCCTCGCGTTTCGTCCAGTTTGGGATTAATGAGCTGGATGTACGGCATTTCAGAGTTAATGTTCACTCTGGGAAACGAACCCAGTACCATTCGCTTTAAACGCCATCGTGTTATCCACTTAGCTACTGAGTTTTGATAGCCACAACAATGAGAAGATTCAAGTAAACAAAACCGATTGATTTAAAACTTTACCCCATTGCACAAGCAAGTAACTATCATGACTCAGTAGCTAAATGGATAACGCTATAGCACTGGGTTCGAGTTCTAGAGTGCTTATGACTTAAAGCAATATCGAGGCAATACACACACTGTATACACATATGCTAATACGAGACTGGTCATTTTCAGCTCTAAAACATCAATGGGAACATTCAAATAAACAATACCATATGAATAGAATTCAATCTGTTTCTTTTGTTTTTATTTTCACTAAAGAAAGATGAATTCTATGTAGCAAATCTTTTTTTTGGCAGAGTTATCATTTATTTGTTCTTTGTAAAAGCATGAGTAAACTTGTAAACTAGATATTTCTTAGTTTAAACAACATGCCAATTCTTATTATCTCTTCCACCAACATACAGTTGATGGTGGTCAATCGTCTTGATAAACTGTAGATTTGACCCGTTGATGTTATGGAGTAAGCATTGTTGACTTAAATAGATTAGATTAAATAATCGATAATAGTTTCTGGGAAGTACTTTGATTGATCAGTTATCAATACATTTGCCTTACAATATATGTGAAACACATTAACTCTAATCATTCAAATTCAATATTGATTAACGTACACAGTATGGTACTTCATATTGTGATTTTATTTCATATCAAATGGCTTATATTGATACTACCGACAGAATCAATCTATGAACATGAATAAATAATTGAATAGTAAAGAATCATGTTTGATCTTGTTTAACTGTGAGGTGACTAAAGCTACGACTAAACATCAGTTTTATATCATTGGAAACTATCTCAATTTTCTTATGTAGTATTGATTGCTTACCTAATGATGGTTGGATCTTTCAATGAAGAGTTTAGTTTGAATAGTTCAGAATTATACATAAAATTACATTTTTAATGTTTCTAACACACTTGAAGCCAAACTGTTCGTTGAAGTTTCGATGAAAATTCATAAAACTTGTTATTTGACCATTTAATCTTTATTGTCACCGGGTATGTAATAGTGAGGTTGGAATCTGGGTATTAGGGAATAATGGTGAATTAGTTGCTAATGTTGTGATTCTTCATACACTAGGATGGTTGGGCCAAGTGTTATGTATGCCTGAACACCGGTTACCACGACACGCAATGCTGACTAGTGTTGAGGATAGTTAGAAGTAAGTTGAGGGCAGCCAGATCGAAGCGTGACATCAGCCCTTGAAGTTACTAACTTCTAGTCTGAGCCATGTTGGTAGATGCAGACTACTTGTTTGGGGTCCGTGTGACTATCGTTATCAATGGTTGGAGACACTGGGTGACATGACTCAGAATCAATCACAATGGCGTAGGTATATACACTATTTGTCTTCCCTTAAACCGTGAGATTGAGATTGATTTCTACCTTTCTTTTTACCAACTAATTCTTTCTTCCTGTATTATATCCTCATACACAATCTTTCTTTTATACATTACTACCATGGAAGTGACTACTTCTATGAGTTTGTTGTTCATCTTATTATACTGATGAGGTTTGACAAGTTGGACCGATGGATATATACCCCTGATCCCACGTTGTAACTGACTGACTGATTAGTTAGTTGGATAAATATATATTATTAAGACTATCGATTAATGAAATGTATATATAGATGGTAATTCTCTAGGATTAAGTTGGTTTCATTGTTAATATTTTACTGAATTGAAACTTACTGTATGAGTGTAAACTATGATTTATAATAGTATAAACTACGTGTAACGGTAAAGTAAGGGACGCTGAAATTAGACAAAAGATACAACGTGAATTATAAATCTTCATCCACTGAGATGGTTAAGAAATGCACCGCGTAAACTCAACCACAGGCTACCTAGACTGTTCATTTCACCTAGTATAGGGGTAGATTTGAAGAAATCCAATCTCAATATCATTTTAAGTCATTAAATAATAAACTTAACATATAAATGAATCATAAAACTTACTTCATGAAGTAATTTAAATATATACGCTTGCATCAATGTGAAACACACGCCCAATACTAATTTACGATCACGTTTTTGTATATCTTTACCACTGACATTAACAAAACGTATATTCATTGATTGAGCTGAATCAATAACTAAATTACAATTGCCTGTTTCTTGAAATAAACGACGTTTTGGATCAAAATCTTGATCCACTAATGACCAATCCACTGAACCAGGTTTAATTTTTTCAAATAATTGTAATAATACTAAACCATTACTAAGATCAGTATATAAATGAGTTACATATGGTTTAACACCAAGTGAATTAATCCAATTTCTATAAGTTCTTTCTTCTAATGTTTCACCTTCTACTATAAAATCATCACGACGTGCATCTAAACCTGGATACATATTGAATAATGTAGCAAGAAATGCTAAATTTAAACGATCACGATTATCATTATTCTTTTCTCCAGCTAAATAAATATCTTCTGGTGAAAGTGTAAATGGTGTACCCAATGTTTCATTATTATTCAATACATTCATTGCTCTTTCTTGACGACTAGTTGAACTTAAAATTTCACTAGCAGACATTAATTTACAACGTTTATCTATGGGAACAATTTGTTCCATTAAATGAGCATATACAACTGAATCAGCTAAATCAGAATTGAAATTTGTTATACGTCTATCACAACCAGCTCGATGTAAATGATAATTAACCCAACGCATTAATAATTCTTCTGGTTTTAATGTAGATAAATCTTCAGCAGTTTCTCCATCATGTAATAAAGCTATTAATTCTTTATGTCTGTTCAATGTAATTGTATCGATTAATCCACGACGAATTAATTGCCAAATTAATCCTAGAACAATATGTCGTTTACCTTGCATAATATCCTCTGGACCAGTATTTACTACACAACATCCAATAGAAGCAGCTGAATTAACAGCCAGTGTAAGATTTTCATGAACCTAATAGTCAAAATAAAGATAAAAAGAACAAATGCACTAACAGATTAGAATGATCTAATATGTGAACTCGATTCCACTCTTTGAGTTATCTATACATACTGATACAGAAAGTGAGATTGACATCATGGAGCTGAATGAAGAATACGCTCACAATATGATAAACTAATGTTGAAATTTTAAAAACGTATCAGTATGAGGTTGTAAAGATTATTATGTTTTTGATTGAGATCATGAACCGGTTTGATGTTAGAACACTATTGAAAACCTGGAAGCAGTGAATGGCTGTTTCGTCCCATTGCGGGACTCCTCAGCAGTGCACATGCACGATACCACCCCATGGGATTCGAACCATGAGCCTTCAATCTTGCGCGTGAACGCTTAACCTCTAGACCACTGAGCCGGCCCGCGTCCAACCGTGTTGATGTCTAACCTCAACCAATTCACGAAATCGCGTGACCATCTTCCATTTTACTTAGGTAGATACCTATCTCTAGCTGACACGGATTAGCTTTACTGGTCACGCTTATTAGTTCAAGGAAACTTTTTTGATAAGCTCTCTTCATTTTGTAATTAAACATTAGGTGTATCCTTCATACCATAAATTATTTCATATTAGGTTAAGCAAGTTAGTCAAGTCATTTGGTATTGGTTACTTGAATATTCCCATTGATGTTTAAAGGCTGAAAATGATCAATCTCTCATTGGCATATGTGTATACTGTGCGTATTGCCTCGATATTGCCTTAATTTACAAGCATTATAAGGAAAGATGGTTAGTGGCTAGTAATGGAATCGAGTTTGACTCGCGTTTCGTCTTATTTGGGACTTATCAGTTGGATATGCCTACATCTTATAGTTGATGTTCCTTCCAGGACTCAAACTCAATATCGTTCGCTTTAGATGCTATCGTTTTATCTACTTAGTCCTGATAGGACGAAACACGCTTATTGGATACCACTGCTAGCCACTATTTATCTTTACTCATTATATTATCTAGAATTCATATTCTATATATTCATATTCTATCTTTCACTTCTAAATAGCTCTAAAGTGTTATACATCAATGTTATGAAAATATTATCTACTTTGTTGTATCTACCTATCAAATTATATTATATAATGGATGATCTGCGTTGTTACCGGACGATTCCTTCTATCTCTACACATCTAACATTCAATATAATATAAAGATTTTAAGATTATTTCATTTAGATTACTATTTTTTATGTTATTTATTATGAAATTCTTTAATATTGACCTTTAATTATTGATTAGGAACAATGTTCACACATAGACACAAACTATAGATATATCTATGCATAGTAACGAGTTTATTTTAATGAGATTACTTAAATGGTATTACAGAAATGATACAAAATAACTTGGCTTTTCTCATTCATACATTCTCTACTATTTTCTTCTTCTTCTTCTTCTTCATTGATGTATTTCTATCATAAACAAACTATGATAATTATTTCATTAATTTTATCATGATTATCATATCATATTTATATTAGTGTCATTCATGATATAAACTAAGTTATGTATAGTGTATTTTCACATTACTCTGTTGACAAGTCATTTACATATACAAATATATACACATAAGATACATTCTTAGAGTTATTGATTCATATATAAGTGTAACTATGTCATATGTATCTGTATTGTACGTGTTCTCTTTCATTTGTGTCACTATAAGAGTAACAGTAAATTCACAGTAATTGTCACCATAAGTATGATATGATAACTAATTTAACCAACTAATCAATAATAATACTAGTAATAATAATAATTATTATTATTCAGCACACTTCCATTATTTGGTAACAATCACATTTTTATGATGCTTTACTAAATCTGTAATTGATCAACTCATAACACATTACAGATACACAATAAAAGAAGAATATCTCGATAGAAATGAATAAGTGACAGTCAAGTGTGTATGTTTAATGTGTATATAATACTGAATACAAAAAGTATTCTTGAATAAAATGAATTATTTAGTAAATGAATGATTAAATGAATGAGTATGAAACTGCTGGGGTTGAAGCTATCACGAGTTCACTGAATCTGCGAACGAGAAAACAAGACTCGGTGACCAAAAGACCAGTAAGCTAACTATCGATGTATCCCAGCCCCGCTAACTAGAGGGAATTGTTCAAGCTTGGAATGGGGAAGTATATTCTACAAAACAACCAGAAACGAGCGATAACAACAAACACAATTCAAAACGTATATATACAGTGCAAAACCGTCCTTGGGAAGAATTACCAAATAGCATACTAAAAGACTCAACGGACCAATAGCATTTAAGTTATTTCGCAAGTAGAAAATACGACATGAAGATGACAAGAACGCTTTTGGTGCGATAATAAATAAATTAAAATTTTCTAAATAAAATTACAAAATTAGGTCCTTTTTCAAGTGGGTTCTGGAGATCTAACGTCCCCAACACAAACAGATAATCTAGCATTCACATTGTTGAGGAGTTTCATACTAGAGACAAAACAGTTGGCTAGTACTTTGATGCTTTTCATAGTGATTTAGTTTAGATCAACTCATAAATTCAATTAATAAAAAAATTACTATAATATTCACAAAATTCTATTTTAAAGATAATTATTTAATAAATAAAAAAATAAACAACCTCAATAGTTGAGATCATGAGTTAGTTGAAGTGAGACCACCATGGAAAAACCTCAAAGCGCGAGACTGATAAGTCCTTGGTTCAAATCTCGCGAGGCGAAATCGTGAATGAGCACTGCTGAAGAATCCTACTTAAGGACGAAACAGCCATCCAGTACTTCCAGGTTTTTCATGGTGGTCTAGCTTTAAAGAGAGCAAGAACAAAAATTGGTGCAGAATAATATGAATTCATTTTATTTCGTTAGGTTCTCATCAGCTGCTTACAACCTAAATTATTTAAAATTCAACATTAATACAGATATTGACATATTTATATATAAGAATGTGATGAAGGATCAATACATGTGTATGATGATGTAGCGAATATTCAGATAGAGTTAATGAGCTCATAAAATGTTTGATTCGAATAAATAAATAAAGTTTGAGAGGGAAAGTTTCAGAACATTGAAATAGTGATTAGAACTCATGAAAATAGATTAATGGTAATAATGAAAGATATGAATTGAAATCAATCAGTTATGTATGATGTAATTTAAACTTCAGAAAGAGTTACAATAATGACGTAATAAATAAATAAATAGGAGCAAATTAATAGAAAGAGTGGGGGTTATTGTTACCAGGGTAAAGAAAGATTTATTACTGTCTCTTTTTGTATACATAGATCTGGTTTTAAACGTTTGATTGCTAACGCTTTAATTGACTCATGATCTTAACTATTGAAATTACCGTAATATCTACAAAAACCCTCTTCTGAAATAAATAATCGCTTAATGAATTTCTTAATACACGTTCATGTTATATTTGAAATTCATTTAAAATGAAGTTACTGGGAACTATTGAAGGCTTCTCTTAAATTACATAATACCTAGCTGAATACAATCAGTAAGAAGTCTGGTTTTCATCAATTTCCTTGTTAGTTTACACATGTCAGATATCTGTAAAAGGGTTTCATTTATTGCTGTAGGATTCATCCTTGTCTCATTCAATATCACAATCAGAAATATTATCACTAAGCTATTTCTGTTATAACTGAACACTGATTGATCATTCAATAACATTCATTGAAACTGTTAAATGTAGCTTTGAAAATTAGACATATATCAACTTAAATAGCGTGTTGGTTGGATAATCAGCCCAATAATTACCTGTAGACTTCAAGCCAGATCATCTTATTTGACATAAAATTAATCTCAAACAGAATAGTCAGTGATAACTACAATGGTATCTCGGTAATTCTGTAGAAATCTACCGACTGACTAACTTACTAACATTGATACTATCTGACGACATATAGAATCATGTTTCTGAGACTGTAAATTACAGTAACAATGATTAAACATCTCCATTATTAAACGTATTAGGTACATAGCTTATAATTCTAAAGAATAAATCAAACTCAATACAGACAAAAACTGTCAAGAATTTGAACTGTGTAAATCACTGATTTTGAACACCATCTGGAATCCTAACTTCTAAGGAATGAAACAGTTGTCATCATTGGCTGAAGATGATCGTTATGTCATTTCACAAATTTATTCAAAATAAAAATCCACACCACCATTTGATCCAAATCAAGTGATCAAATAGTTAAACACTTATTGAAAAAACCGAATATCTTGTACATGATCGCTTAGAAAGTCGTGAGTACAAACTCAGTAGGAATCCTGTATTAGGAAAAAATTTCTGTCTATTGTACACCCTAGTGTCCCGGTTGATGCCGTAACTGACTTCAATGAGTGAAATATCTCATCGACAATTTAAACTTATCAAAAACTCTACTATCCAAATGAATCAAACCGCAAAATCATTCGCTATAACCAAGTCCCAAGACTTTGAATTTCTTACACACATCAGGTCAGTTACAAAGCTACTGTATCTAACCAACCGCTAAATCGTCTGTACATACTTTATGAATGGTACTAATTGTTCTGAACAACTGTTGTTGATTAGTAATGAGTCGAACCTAAAACATATTCATAGTAAATTCATTTTAACTAACATTAAAGTAAACGAATGTTTAGGTTTTCAATCAAAATAAACTATCCGGGTAAAGTATTAACATTGATATATGTCTGTAATCTTGATTGTTAACCGAATAATATCAGTTTAACCAAGAGTTAACTAAAATGAAATCCATTAATTCATTAATCAATTATACTTGTTCACATTCATATCTGATTAAAAAAAACACAACACTAACAAACTATGACTTGTAACTGATAAACTGAACTAAACAGATCATTCATTGTTTAAAAAAGGGACCTTGACAGTGTTTATTGAATTATGTAAATGATAGTGGATGAATGAATGTAATTTGTTTAGATAAAACATTGATTGAACATTGGGTTTAATGAATTGTATGAAACATTCACGTCAATATGTTCTGATTACAAATCAGATATAATAAACAATTTCAGCTCTTTGTTCCTGGATCATAAATTTGTCCATAGAGATGGTGTTACAGATATAATCGAGTTTATGAAAACGATAAAACTCAACTAGTAAAGTTGTGTGTACTCAGTATAGAGGCACATTTTGTATCAAGGCTAATGATTCTATCTAGCTACCCAAAGTGAAACACGTAACTTGGGACTCGAACAAGAGAGCTCGTGATTGGCAGACAGACCCCTTCATCACTTAGCCGTTGTTCTACCATATACAGACGTTTGTTTCATAATTTTTGAGGAGCAAAGAGAATTTTTATAAAAATTCATTAATCAATGTCTGTCAAATTCTTAGTACTGACTGAACTTTATCAATCAAGCAGCGATGTGATCGTCAAGCGACTTCAATCACTAGGCTATACGTTCCAAGGAATACCTCACTTACATGTAAGTAACAGACATCGAATTTTAAAAGAAAATGTCACAGTTCTTCCCCAAGCAGCTACGTTCATTCATTGAGGACTTATAGAGAAAGTTTTAGTCTAAAAACAATCTGACGATGTTAGTAGAGTGTTCTAGCTTAATGTTTAATTGTATCAAATTTTAACCTTTTTTATTGAGAAGATTTAGGGTCACAACATGGTACTTGACTGATATAAACAATCAACTTTGGTTAAACAATGGATTGTAAATAATAAAGTTTCATTCTAAACTATTAATTGAAATCCCGTCAGCTGAAAATGATAGAATCAACGTAAGTTATCTCTGTAAATCGATTCTAACGAATAAAAATCACTAAATTTCAGTTAATGTGAAAAGAACTCGTGCGAAATAGCAGAGAACGCCGTTTCGTCCTAGTTTAGCACTTTTCAGAAGTGCTCATCCACGATCCCATACATAGGACTCCAACCCATGACCTTTAGTCTCACGTACAAACGCTTAAACTCCAGACCACTGAACCGACATCCAGCGGTGTTAATGTGTAACTTAAATCAACCCATGGTCATGCTCAACCCTTCAACCATTGTCTGATGTGGATAACTGTCTCGAACCCACACAGATCGGACTCAAATGGTCATAGCCGTCCAATACTTTCAGGTTTTCAATGGAGATCTAGCTTAGATCGACTCATTCAGATTCAGATTTGTGTAGTAAGCACTGATTTTCACAAATATTCATGAATAAATGAAATATAATTATTCTAGTACAATTATCGCATAATATTGACGATGATTATAACAACAATAGCAACAATACAGATACTTACATTGAAAACATTTTTCAAACTAGGTCCTCTATTTATACTTCGTTCATCAATAGTATTTGGACTGGCCACATTGACGAGTTTACACAATAATATTCCATTTTTACATCGTTGATATAATTGACCATCAACTGATGGATCAACTGGTAGAATTCCATCTTGTAATTCTACATCATGACCCAAACGTTTATTGATCCAAAGTGTAAAACCTCGTTCTTCTGCTTTACTAACTGAATGTCGAGTATCAGTATCATTTTTGCCAACAGTAAATGACTAAAAGAAACCAAAATAAATAGAAAAAAAATCAATGAATAAATTAACTATTTCAATTATTGGATTTATTGTGTTTATTAACAGTTGTCTACGCAAAATACTTCGGATCCGTTGGTCAGACATTATCAGCAACGAGCTATTGTGAGAGAGATTAAACCAGATTCCAGTGGAGGAAGAAATAAGGAAGAAGTGTTGGAAATGGATAGGACACATATTGAGAAAATCACCCAACTGTGTCACAAAGCAGGCCCTCACATGGAATCCTCAAGTCCAAGGGAGGAGAAGAAGAACAAAGTACACATTACACCGAGAAATGGAGACAGACATGCGAAGATTGAACAAGAATTGGATAGAACTAGGAAGGAAGAGCCAGGACAGAATGGTTTGGAGAATCCTAGTCGATGGCCTATGCTCGAATGCCGGTGACAGGCATAAGTAAGTAATTATTTTACCCAAAGTAGACAGTTTTCTGTTCTTTATTCATTAAATAGAAGACAATGTTTAAGGTTCTATTAAAGTCGATTGTCCAGGATTAATTCATTGAATAATTTTTTTTATTGAGATCATGAAACGATTGATGTTAGACCACCATTGAAAACCTGGAAGCACTGGATGGCCATTTCATCCTATTGTGGGACTCCTGGTGAGAAGCCGTGACCAGTGGAGCTAATCCATGTTGGGCAGAAACAGGTGTCTACCTCAGTAAAATGGAAGGTTGTCGCGCAACTTCGTGGATTGGTTGATGTTAGACACTATCACCATTCGATGTCGGCTCAGTGGTCCAGTAGGTCAAGCGTTCGCGCACGAGACTGAAGGCCCTAGGTTCGAATATAGCGAGCGGGATCGTGGATGCGTACCCCTGAGGAGTCCCACAATAGGACGAAACGGCCGCGCAGTGCTTCCAGTTTTCAATGGTGGTCTAACACCAATCGGTTCATGATCTCAATCAAAAACTTGACAATCTCTACAACCCCTAAATTGACATTGAATAATTGTTTTAAAGTTTCCTGGTTCTAAAGTATGTAAGATCAATATGACAACTCCACTTTATTATTTTAAATGATAAGAAATGTCGATAATTTCTTTGGAATTATAGTGCAACAATATATAGGTATGTATCTTTAAGACTCAGTTATAAGTATTACTTTAGTACAGTGATGAGAATTAATTTAGTTCGATGAAAGAAACTGAAAGAGAAGTTTTCCGTCTAAATCGACTGCATTTAGTTTAAAAAGGCTTAGTTCTTGTATGGTGGTTGCTATTGATATCGACAGATATAAGTAGGATATATCATCAATCGAATGTGGGATACCTGGCAGCAAAAAGTTGAGAAAATCGAACGGAAGACTACAAGGACAGAGAGTGATTGATATGGAAATGAAGAAACAACAAATTCCGAGACAATGGAAATAGTTAAGATAATGTATAAATTTCATTGAATGTAATGATTATCTTTCAGCAATATATGATTATTCTCATACTAGATGTGTTATTGTTGACATTTATTGAATATATATATGGAAAGGTATAACTTTATTGACGATTCAAACATGACCTATCTAAATTAGTTCCTCGAATTCTATTGAATATATACCAGAACTTTCTAAATGTTCATTGGAACCATTTGTTCAAAAACTATGTTCTATTACAACACCATGTAATCCATTTATTTTATCATATACAAAGTATACACTTAATTTCCTAATGATATATGTATATATATCTGTTATGTCCTTGGACTGTTTACCCACTTTTGGTGCTGAGGATACTTATCTAATCCGGGTTAAGACCTTGGTGCGATAGGCTAACTGACCTAACTCTGGTAGAGAGAAGAAAACTATTCCCTATTCACATCTACATCTATATCAAGACTTTGAATATATTCACTCATTCATTTGTTACCTATTTTTCATTTGGATAAAAGTTATATAAGTTGAAATCATGAGTCAATTGAAGCTAGACCATCATGGAAAACCTGGAAGCACTGGACGGCCGTCTCGTCCTAGTATGGGTCTCCTCAGCAGTGCGCATCCACGATCCCGATATAAAACATAAAATTCTCAATTGTTTATTCACATTTTTACTCATATAATTGGCATAAGTCTTTTTCTTATTGCATAACTTAAAGTTGACAAGGTCAAAGTATCATTTATTGATAACCATAGAGTAATGTTAAAATGATATTGGAATGTTCACCTAGTTATTACAGTTGTATAAGGGTTATATGAGAAATTAAGATTAAGATTCACAATTGAATGTTAAGGTTAGGAATTAGACTTCATGTTTTCATTACGAATTAACATCAACTAAAATGTCAAAATGGTATTTAACCAAATGAATGAATGAATGAATTTCGAGCCAAAATCCAAGATCTACTTCTTGAAATCTGATTGGTTTGTTTATAAATTCTAGATTGTGAATATTTTAAGTTGCCAAGACTACATGAATATTTATACGGATCATCATCATATTAAATAAGTTGACCATGCAATAAAAATTGTATTAAATAAGTTTACTTAAAACTACTAACAAGTAGTAATAACTGAAGATGTTGAATGAAGTATACAATAGAACTTTCTAATTGACAGATTTCATTGAACTGAACACAAATTAAAATGTACAAACATCAACATAAACAAATTGATAGAAACTTTTAATTATGTATTAAACTTAGTCAATGTAATAGTCCCAATCTTCTGCTGCCAGACATGATATTCCTGACTCGCGTTATATACTACTCATGTCAATATAAGTAGCACGCACCACAGTCCAATCTGCCAAAAGCAACGTATATAGATATATTAAGATGAACCCTATAGTACCTTCTATTGATCTAAACGATAGATTTATTATTCATTTTAACACCATATATTCCTTATATCTTTGAAATAATCTCAACGATTTGAATTTAAGTTATTTTGATGTTAGATTCCATCATTTCAATGACAATCGCTGAGATGATTCCAAATCTAATCTACACAAATAGGATTATCTATATACTAAGTGCTTGATTTGTGTTAAATTATTCATTCAAATGTAGAAGAATATTCATATAAATTTATCGCTTCATATTATTATGAAGCGAAAATAATTGGCGATCTGCTTGAATATCTGGGCTACCTATTCTTGATATCTATCTAGATATTTTAACAAGTTATATCATTACGGCTATTCATCACAGAACCTATTCAGATACGTATGTGAAAATGTTTACAACGTTTCGTTGTACAAGTTATCAAAGAGTACGGTCAGAGATATCGTGATAATTGGAAATAGGCAACAAAAAAATAAGTGTACATTATTTAGATGTCGATGGACTGAAATGCTAACGTCTAACTAGCGATCAATCAACATGTTATTGCGCAGCAAAGCTCATTATCAAAGAAAGGACAAGCTGGATGTTTCATTCAAAACCTAAAAGACATGTAAACGATTGTGTCACATCCCGTTGTGTTTACCAATTTAAATGTGTGTGTGGTCACATATACATAGGGAGGTGTAATCGTGATCTCAATATTAGGGTGAGTGAACATGTACCCAAATGGCTTCAAAAACAAATACAATTAAGTGACCCAATAAGAGCAGAGGATAAACATCCATTATCCCTTTATTGATAAACATATAATTGAAACAGGTCACAAGATTGATCTAAATTCAGCTTTTTTAGTGTTGTATAAAAGTGTAAAAGAGCGTAGACTAAGGTTTATTGAAGCCTTAGCCATACGAAAATTCAAACTTCCTTTGTGTGTTCAAAAACAGTTTGTTCTTACCTTAAACCTACCCTGGTAATATTGACTTATTATCCAGAGTGATTAGGTTACGAATTGTGTTCACATTATTATTATTACTCTTATCATTATCCTTATCTCCTCCCGTTTCCAGTCTAGTTGACCTTTTATTTTTATATATAAATGCTCTTAACAAGTATCTTATGTGTGATCAGATTGTTCGAAGTGTATTGCGCTAATATATCATCACATAGTTCTGATAGTCTTTGTCTTCTCATTACATGATCAAAATTTATCAAAGGTACTAATTGCTTCAATATGTTATCGTCAAGATCGACAAAGAAGTAACAAAATGGGAAACGTGCTGAAATACTTTGTGCTGAGAATTCTATACTGTACTAATCATTTTCTATGTCAAACAATACGAATATAAGAATTAACTATCAAAGTTAATTCATACCGTAGTTACAAAAGATATATCTTAAGAATAGAATCATTCGCTTTGTATTCTTATTATCGTTTGTTTACAATGGATCACTTAGTTTATGTATAATGAATCGACCTATATGAAATGTCCTACTATGGAGATAATAATCATGACAATTCTTGATTATCATATCAATCATTTAGTTAGTTGAGTAATTAGGATTATTGAAATGTTCAAGGATAGAAGTACTTTTCTCTCAATTCTTTAAACCTAATCTGGAATATATATTCTGTATTAAAAACGATCACTTCCAAGGCATGGAAGTAAGTCAATTGGTAGAATATATGTTAGCTATGTTCTTTAAAGGTGAGTCAGTCAGTCAGTCAATCAGCTACAACGTAGGACCAGACACATATATGCATCGGTCCAAGTTGCCATACCACATTAGCACAACAAAATAAACACCGGATTCATAGGAATGGTTAAGTTAGGTTATAGATTAGATCCTTAAACATTTCGCTAACATTTATTTAGTACAATATTTTAACTGTCACTTTCTATTCAAGATTATATAGTTCATCTTCAAATGATAACGCTAACAACGGATTATATATCTATAAAGGATAGAACATACCTTTACATCTTCAGCATGTTTTAATAATAATGCTTTACTAATAGCTTTTGTTGTATCTTTCATATCTTTAGCTTTTTTATATAATTCATGAAATTCATCTGGATTAAGCCAATTTCTTTGTTGTCCTAATAAATCTCTTATTTCATGACCAGCTAAAGAGACACCAACAAGTTCTAATGCACTTTTTATATCATCCCATGCAATATTATTAGATTCACGTAATGATTTATATTTATGAAATAGATCATCCCATTGTTCTTGAGTTAATTGATTTATTGACATTGTCAAACGATTGAAGTATTGAAATGTTGAGTGAATTGAAGAAGAATTAAAGAACTAAAGTTAGACGATGTATAGAATGTTTCAAGAATTCGTAATTTGATTTATATACATAAAATGAATTCCAAAAAAAAAAAAAAATAACAAACAAATCATCAGATTCTAATCATCATATGATGATCAACCTACATTAGGTATGTAACATTCATTTATTGTATAAATCTATATAGAAATGTAGATATACATTATCAATATAATTAGATATCATGAACTACATTGAGTGTATCCAATATGAGTAGGCATGTCTGTATAACAAATACTTGAATAGTAAATATGTGTGTATAGTTAACACTTTGATAAGTAAATTACTTACTAACAATCATTAGTGTTAGTACATTTCTAATCATCTGAGTGTGTGTGTGTGTGTATGTGTGTACATGTGCGTGTGTGCGTGTGCGTGTATTTCAGTTATTTTATACTTAAGTAGTCTATTATAGTTGCTGTGGCTAATCAGATGGTTACCGGAATCGAGTTTATTTAATTGGTAATGATTCTGTTTAAACAAGTATGTTAGATAAATCAACAACAACAACAACAACAACAAAAAGAAAGATTATTTACTATGAAAATGGTATCACATAAATGAGTAATTTCTAGGGGAATCTATAGTGATACGATAGACAAGTAAAAAAAAACCACACTCACTCATAATTAGCATCAATATTATTTGCTTGATTTACAGATAACTTAAGCATTGATGAATCGGGTTTTATTTTTCATATGGCTCCATTAATTACACCTGTTACCTCTGATGGAGCAGTGTATTCCGCTTAACAGGATTCTCCATATAATCCTGACCTGAGCAATCGTTTTCAATTAATTTTAATTCTGATTCATCCTTTTCATTTATGCTTACAATTCTCGATGCATTGTGTTCTATGGTCTTCTTCTGATCAGTTTCCTTACAGGATTCCTAGTTAACGCTTGCCTCGTCATGCAGTTTGTTGATTTCACAAATGTATGTCATATCCACTTACAATGACTTTTCATTACTTCCTCCTCAGCTGCAACCTGGTTTCTTCTCTCCCACAGTAGAATGTCGCTTATGTTATCCGGTCAACGAATATTCAGTATCTTGTGTAGACAATTCTTTCGAAATATTTGTAGATTATTGGGTATATTTGTGTTAGTTTTCTAAGTTTCAGCTGCACACAGTAGAACTGTTTTGATGTTCTTATTGAAGATTATGACATTTATATTGGTTGACAGTTGTTTTGAGATCCTTATGTTGTACAACGGTAGGAATTCGGTCATTGCTTTGTCGATCATCAATAATACTGCAGACCAGGTACGTGGACGTTCCCACCTCTTCCAGAGTTTCTTCATCAAGTATTATCGTGCTGGTATTCTTCACGTTGTCTTTGAGGATCATGGTTTTTCCCTTGTGTATGTTGAGGGCTAGTAACGCATAGTCTGCTGCTACACTAGTTGTCTTTATCTGCATTTGTTATTGTGTATGAGATAGTAGGGCCATGTCATCTGTGAAGTTCAAATCTTGTAATTGATTCCGATCTATCCATTGTATTCAGTGTTCCCTTTCAGATATATATGGCTTCATACTTATGTAAATTTTATTTATACGATTTTTAGTCTACAATCCGACAAATTTCAGTGGTTGATAGTTTGTTTTATCAAATGTCAACCATGTACAGCAATACTTACTTTATGAATAAATCAGTCACGAAATGTAATGACTTATCTAGAGAACCATTGAAAATAAGGGAGTACTAGATAGCTGTTTTGTCCTAATACGAGGCTTCCCGGAATCAACAGTCCAGTCACCGTTCGGATAAGGAGCAAATGTGTGATTATTATATCAGTGATTTGGTACTGTGAAGACGGCCCACGGGAGAACTCAAGAAAGCTCTAAGAAGCTGAGAAAGATCCGAAGATATCCCATCGGATCGTTTTTTGGAAGGATATTCCAGAATCCCTACTTGTAGTATCCCTATTGGACAAATGATAAAAACCCCTTGTATGCCGATAGGAGGACTATAATGATGATTTCGTTTATACTAAAAACCATAAATACCTGAGAGTTTCGTACGATAATTGACACTGTTTGGAATAGCATTCCATTCGCTTGTGTTTTGTCTTCTAACTTGCGACTTAGAGGGTTCTAGTGTTTGAGTGCTCAAGTAGTACGCGATATAATACGAGTCTAAGCTCTAGATATAACAGATATAAAGTGGTCAACTTTTCTAACATCAATCAGTTACTAATATTTCCTGATTATCTATAACAGCTATCAATGATAACTGTTTTACTCTAGACATTTTAAACTCCACTAGTCACAGTTTCTTATTTAAACTTCAGAGTAATTTCGCAGATTCCTCATTTTGAAAGAAAACTGAGTTTCATCAAGCAACTATTGAAATCCAAAGTAAACTGTATAACTACTTTATCCTTGTTATGACTTGTCAGCAGTATGGGCATTCGATCTTTAGGTTGTATGACCTCTGCAGCCCTCTCAAGCTAATAAAATACAGAAATTGTGGTTTAACTATTTGATGGTAGTCGAATCTACTTACTTTTGAAACTGATTAAAGCTGATTACTACAATAGAAGTAAATTATATATACACAAGATATGAGTTAACTGTAACTTTAAATAAACCTTTTTTACTACTGTGAGCTATTTGTGTAGCCCCGGAACTCATTCTAACCGATAAATTGAGTGGTATGAAGTAATTGTATATCCTACTTTTGATTGACTGCTTTGTACCTTGATGAGAGAATAAAAGATCTAATTAGGAATGATTTAGACATGCGAAAACCAATTGTAGTATTTCATGAAGTCATCCTTTAGAATAATTAAGGTTTCTGAACGAAAACAATCTGAATATAAATCTAGTAAACCCTTCTGAATCCTATAGATTGAGCACAATAAGATTTTACAACTACATCCCAATATAATTGTGACATTCTCACTTTAAGTTATGAATTCCGAAACTACTAGCTTGTATAAATAAGCATTTAACTACTTGTTATTATTATCATCTTCATTTATGCCTCTCATGTGCATACTACCTACGTAAAATCTTCTGAGGAGACCAAGTTTATGATTCCACATAATCCTATACGTTGCGCTTGTAGTGACCTACTTATATGAAGAGAACGCGATTGGTGTTATGAAAACAATTATTATTATAACCAATTGTACCAGTGATTGTTTTACTGTACTTGCTTGTTTAACTGTACTAAAAACATACCTTCTTCCGTTGACTGTGACCTTTCACGCACTCGCGTACGCTCAGTAACCACACTTGTAACCTGGCACGATCTCGATATTCTTTCGATACCCCAAGATCGCTAACGAATACATCTCGACTACAGCCATCAACTGCCTTCTGTTATTTGGCTTATGAGGGATCTTATCGGTTAACTGGCACGTAGTCTTCCTGTAGTAGTGATCATAGTCAACCGCGACTCGACGCCACACCACACGCTGATGACTGTATCATATCTCACTGTATTTAGATATTTACATGTTTCTGTCAGCACACACACACACACGTATATATATAGAACGGAGTAATCAGTTAATACAGTCAAGATTGATGCCAATTTTATTGATACTTTTGTTTCTCGCAAAATTAATTTCTATTTTCTTTTATGATTCATTCTGTAAGAAATAAGTTTTCCAGTTTCATGAATAGTTGATCTCTTCAACTAGATTAATCAACATTTATTTCAATCTTTTATCAATAAATAGTACCATGGTAACACATGATCTCTTAATAAACCTATTAATTTGTTATCATGATATTATATGAGTAGATGGTATACTATGCAAAGTATACTTATCATCTAAGTATTGACAATATCTAACATCGAATATATGAAACATATTTAAATGGAAATTATATTTAATGGTTGAGAGCATGAGTCAATTGAATCTAGATCATCATGGAAAACCTGGAAACATTTGAAAGCCATTTCGTCCTATTGTGGGACTCCATAGAAGTGCACATTCACGATCTCGCCTCACGGGATTCGAACTCAGGACCTATCAGTCTCGTGCGCGAACGCTTAACTCCAGGGTTTCCTTCATTACTCTAATCTGATCTTTCTCAAGGGATTGATATAAAATCAAAGTAATGAAATACAAATACAGTTTCAATGTAACTGTTTTATTAAACGACTGTTCAGTCATCTTAGAAAATTTGAGATTAAACGTTTTAAAGTGTGAATATTCTTTGTTTCTTGAAATTGGGGTAGCTAGACTGTCGTATGCCCTGATGGTTTTCTTATAACTTTTGGGTCGCCTGATCTGTCAAGGGTGATGGGACAGTGCATGATTCTAACGTTGTGTGCTAGGCTCAAATAGAATTGTATGCTATATACTTGCAAATCCACCCCGTTATTGTTCCTATATTGTTATTGTGTCGAAGTTAAAGAAAAATTTATGTCGATTTATTCAGTTCTGATGCCCCTAGTGGGCTACAGACAGAGATAAAATTTGTCAAGCTTATCTAAATATTCACAGAATACAAACAAATAAATACGTTTATGTTTGCGCTCTGTTAAAGAGACTGGTTATTCAAGGAATACACAAATTCAACGACTGATTAAAACAAATGAAGGTACACTGTTATTATTCTTTGTGTCGTTTTCATGATATTTTGATAACCGTCGTGAAGATTCTCAAATGTTCTAATGTGAGTATCCTTTGTAGCTTCTTCTTTCGGTCCTCTATGGTGTGATGGTGTTTGTGGATCGTGTAGTGTGCATCAGTTAACATTAGGTGTACCATTTTTCTTCCACTTTGCTCAACTATTCTCCATCACATGGGGCAGTTGATTGGAGATCTATATCTTACACTTGTTGATAGAACATACTGACAAAAACACTCGTGGAGAAAATACAGTTGTTTTCGAGTGGAAGCCTACCTTTTGGCGAACATCTCCTATTTTCGAATAACGAAAAGCGTACTACGCTCATATGATTTGGAGGTGGGTGATTTTGATGAAGTTTCCTCGGATCTGGATGGTTTGGTCGTGAAGCATCCATCGTTCTTCTGAACGACATCAGTACAAACTTCTACTTGAAGACTATATATATGTTCTCTTGAGATCGATTTGATATCCTTTTCTCAATGAATATTTTCCTACCATCGATCAATTTTCAAATTTACCAATATCTTCTTAGAAGTTAGGAATATTTCCCATACATTTTGTGTTCCTTTATTCATATATTCAACTGTACCAAAGTCTCACTTATATATACAACACTATATTCTGTACATTTAAGCTTACAAACAAAATTCAACTTGTTCAATTTTGGGACTATTTCCCTGACTTTTACCAACGTAGAATTAAAAGTAATTTCTGTTCGAAAAATTAGAAGATTTTTCAACTCTTTTTATGCTCAAACAAGCATCAAATTAGGGCTTATGGAACTCATGTGGAACTGGATATTGAGATTATGGAATCAGCTTGAATGGAATAAAGTATGTTGTACGTGGGTACAAGTGCTTGTGAAATACTCAACGAACATCTGTTTAGTCTTAAGTTCGAAATCGCATGAATCACGTCATTTGTGACAATACTCTTATCGTATCCTCGTTCCCATTGTTCAAAAATCGTCTGAAGAGCTTGAAAGTCAACCAATACGATTATTCTGTCGTTCTATGTTTTCCTCTAACCTAAATAGTTATCTAGATGATTTCTATCAATCCAATTTATCAGTAATCACCCGAACTATGAATCGATAATAAGAAGTCACAAAAGTTTTCGCATATACAATGTTATCAATACATGGAGTATACGGTTATCTTAGAGTTGCGTAATCTTTAAATTCCAAGCGACTATCCTTAATACCTTTGATCTACTTCAATCGAATGATGCCTTTTTATTCACCAGTTCCACTCTTTAATTTACTTTATATTTGATTCATACTACGGTAAGTGTATTGCTTATGATTTTTCTATATTCTCTTTTACAAACATGACAGGACAGTTACTGTATTTAACTTTCGATAAATTTGACTAATTTACATATTGACGAATTGTTATATCCTGATAAGAATGATGAATGGTAATTTTTTGGGATCCATTTATGGATCAATACTATGAGTATATTTTTATCGTGTAATTGTTATGTAACTAATTTGTTCATATTCATGTCCATCTTATTATGAGTTTTATTTTGACCTATGAACTACTATTGTACGATTTACCATTCATGAATTATGGCCTGTCTATTAATTACTATCCCCCTAATTCACAGCCACTTTTGGCCAAATCTTGTACAAATGTTGTTTCCTATTCTGTTGGTACTATGTGGTCTGTCTGGTTGGTATATAAACGCAGTATGCTTGAAATAAATGATTCATATCGCAGAGGCTGAGATTGGTGTTTTGGACTTAACTAGCTGGGCTAGGCAGGAAGCAGGACCAGTCAGGACTCTAGGCTGCTCACACGTGTTTTATGCATCACTGACTCGATAGATAGTTTGCTGCTCTCTGATTGACGGTATCGTTGGCACACAGGTTCATAAGTTATAACACGAACTAAGAATTTGGTTATGAGTAAGAGTTTGTAATTTCCCATGTTTAACTATAAGGAATGTGATTGGTCATTCTGTGCATTGTGATTAGATTAACACAGTATGATATGACGTCACCAAATTTAGTAGATTTCGTAAATTATAAATCCTTAGTAATATCTTCACCCCTTCGGAAGAGTTAGTAACTATCTATGCACTGAATACATAGTGAAATATAGTTTATCTTTAGAAACATTTTGGTAAACATTGTTTGAACTGTTGTAAACTTCAAAGTATACCCGTATGAATTGACTTACATTAAGTCACAAAACATCAGAAATACAAAATGTTTGCTACTCATTGTGTTATAACAAAAATTATGTTTATTATGTGTTATTAAGCATATAAAATGTCAATGGTTATTGAAAAGTCATTAAGTCAGTATGCAACTAATATTCCATGAAATGAAATTACTTGCTTGCTTACGCATGTTACCCTTCATAGAGGAGCAAAGGCTGTTCATCAACATTCTTCATACAACCCTGACCTGAGCAGTCGTTTCCATTTTTTTCTAATTCTTATCCATCCTTTTCATGTCTGCTTACAATTTTCGACGCAATGTCCTATTTGGAATTCCTCTTGCCTTCAGGATTCCTAGTTAACGCTTGCATCGTCATATAGTTTGATGATTTCCCAGATGTGTGTCATATACACATACAATGTCTTTTCTTTACTTCCTCCTCAACTGCAACGTGGTGTGTTCTCTCCCACAGTAGAATGTCGCTTATGTTATCCTGTCAACGAATATTCAGTATCTTGTGTAGACAATTCTTTCGAAATATTTGTACATCACTGAGTATGTTTGTGTTAGTTTTCTAAGTTTCAGCTGCACATAGTAGAACTGTTTTGATGTTCTTATTGAAGATTATGACATTTATATTGGTTGACATTTGTTTTGAGTTCACTATGTTGTTCAATCGTAGAAATGTGGTTGTTGCTTTGCCAATCCTCGACTTTGCGTCTGCATCAGATCTTCCTTAATAATGGATGATGATGCAGGTCAGATACGTGAAAAATGCCATATCTCTCAGAGATATGGATATATTTAATGGACACTTTTATTGTAAACTGACTTAGAATAGGCAAGCACAGAAGATTGACAGGGTACTAGAAAAAAATCTAGATGTAATTCAATACAAGTTGACAATGCTTACAGACATCTCTAAGCAAGATCAAACAAACGTCTTCGGATTTTGTCGTTAAACACGGCACCAATCAACCACTTATTCAAATCTGATGGCCTACAATTACTAAATTTTAGTCGTACGAAGATGACAGTGATCAATACCTTCGATAAGCTTTTTACATATTCTTGACGTTTTCGATTACAGAGGTTAAGAATACACTTCAAAGAATTGTAGTGACCTACTTTTATGAACAGAACGCGATTGATTTAATGGAAACAATTATTATTATAACCAATTGTACTAGTGATTGTCTTACTGTACCTGTTTGTTAAAGTGTATTAAAAACACACGTTCTTCCTTTGTCTGTACCCTTTCACGAACTCATGTACGCCTAGTAGTCCGGTTTGTAAATTTTGACAAGATTTCGGTATTATTTCGATACTAAGAGATCCCCAACAAATACATCTTACTACAACCTTCAATTGCCTTCTGATATTTGGCCTACGGAGGGATCTAACCCAGTAACTGACCCGTGGTCTTCCTGCAGTGGTGATTACAGTCAACCGCGACTCGACGCCTACCACAGAATCATAACTGAAAACTTGGACATCAGTTGATTAAGTACTGGTCTAAATATTTACTGATTATGAAGAAAACATTTAATGCATCTACATCAGTCTTAACATTACTGTAGTCATATATACGTTTATAAAACTACAGTAAGTAATTTTAAAAATCTCTGGTCTTAACTAAATGTAGAGTAACGTGTTAAACAAGTCAAAACACGCTATAAGTTATATCCAGTCATATCAAAGTACGTAGTTAAAAATTCAATAAAATTCATACTGAGACTAAGTAACTTATTTTGTCTGTCACAATAAATATGAACAACATCAATATTCACTTGATATTGTTTTACTTGAATCTTCCCATTGATGTTTTAGGACTGAAATTGATCAGTCTCTTATTGGCATATGTGCATACTGTGCGAATGGCTCGATATTGCCTTAATTTACAAGCATTATAAGCAAAGATGGATAGTGGCTAGCAGTAGAATCTAGGATGCGCGTTTAGTCCTGTTTGGGAATCGTCAGCTGGATGTACCTGCATCTCAGAGCTGATGTTCACTCGGTAGCTAAGTGGATAACTCGATGGGGTTTGAAGCGAACGGTACTGAGTTCGAGTCCCAGAGTGAACATCAACTCTGAGATGCAGGTACATCCAGCTGACAAATCCCAAACAGGACGAAACGCGCGTCCTGGATTCCACTGCTAGCCACTATCCATCTTTGCTTATAACATCAATATTGTTTAAATTTCAGAATTCATTTCATATAAATTCTATCAATTACTGTTGAAAGTAGTAAACAATGCAACTTAATTATATTTCATTTTCAGATATACGAAAGCAAGATATAACCCCGATGAAGTTCAATAAATAGTATGTATCAACATACACAAAGGGAAAAGCAAGATTCTTCGATACAATACAGTATACACCAAATGGAACACACTTGATAGAGAAGCTTTGGCACATGTAAAAACATTTACATATCTGGGTAGCATCATTGATAAGCACGGTGGATCTAATACAGATGTGAATGCGCGAATCAACAAAGCAAGAGCAGATTATTTATAACTGAAGGACATTCGGAACTCAAAACACCTGTCAACCAACACCAAAATCAGAATTTCCATTAAAAATATCAAGACAGTTCCACTGTATGAGGCGGAAGCTTGGAGAACTATGAAAGTCATCATCCAGAAAATACACGTGTTTGTTAACGGTTGTCTACGCAGAATACTTCTGATCCGTTGGTCAGACACTATCAGCAACAACCTACTGTGGGAGAGAATAAACCAGATCCCAATGGAGGAAGAAATGTTGGAAGTGCATAGGACACATATTGAGGAAAGCACCTACTGTGTCACAAGGCAGGCCATCACATGGAATCCTCAAGGCCAAAGGAAAAGAGGAAGACCAAACAACAGATTACGCCAAGAAATGGAGACAGACATGAGAAGGATGAACAACAATTGGATAGAACTAGGAAGGAAGGGCCAGGATAGAATGAGTGGGTTTGAGAATGTTGGTCGGCGGCCTATACTTGATTAGGAGTAACTGACGTAATTAAATAGATTTCATAAATAATTATCAAAAATGACCGTGATTCCGAGTATATTAAAGGAATTTCAACTTTAAAAAACAGCAGACATAAATATCTCCGACTACACTAAAAACGATTATGCCTATAAGCATCGTATATAAATGGGATACAATATCTGAGACCGACTTTTGACTTCTTTGAGTAAGACTTTCTTCTATACTGACATATCTTTTATGTTCTGGATATACCGTATGTACTTGTGTCCCAGAGTTGAAGTTCACCTCGAGATTCAAACCCAGTATCGTTCGTTTCAAACTGACTGATCAATTGCAGTCCTAAGCACTAATGGAAAACTCAAATAACCAAAATAAAAATGAATCAAACTTCCCCCCACTGTAAAAGCTAATGATTGTCTGGACTCAGTAGCTAAGTGGATAACGCGTTAGTGTTTGAAGCCAGCAGTACTGGGTCCGAGTCTCGGAGTGAGCATCAAATCTGGCATGCAGGTACATGCAGCTGACGAATTCCAGATAGGGCGAAACGCGTGTCATGGACTCTACTTCTAGCTACCATCCATCTCTGCTTATAGTTTTTGTGATTTGAGGAAATATCGAGGTAATATTCTCGTATGAGAAGATTTAAATAATCAATATAATGATGAATTAACGTGATACATCGAAGTTAATAATACTGAATATTGTACATTCGTGAATTACGCAATCAATTCGCTACTACTCCGACCCAAACTAAGTTACAACGTGTCATCGATATAACTGTTACATATTTTCCGCTTTGATATGCAATGATTTTACTTGGATATATTCGTCCTGTACACTTGTCCTGTAGACTTCCTAAGGCTACAGTCGGTCTGACGCCCGTAAAGGTGACGAGGATTGGCTGTGTGGTTAGCAACCTCATCCCGTAGGAAACAACACTGCCAAAACAAGTAACCAGTAAGAATCATTTAAACCATTCAAACGCTGTCCTGGGAGTTAATGAATTTTCATTTTGAAAAATTATGATGCCTCATAGTGAGATCCGATATTCTTCGGATGTCACGATGCCTATGCCTATTCTAACAACCAGAGCAACAATGAATATAGGTACATAAAATGCCCGTACAATGTGGAAGATCAATCAAATAGCTGTGGAAGTGATGAAAAGCAACTTTGCGGTTCTTGGAATAAGTGAAGCTCATTGGACACAAGTTGGACAGAGATTAGATTCGAGAGAGGGTCTAGTGTGATCTGGTCATGAAGAAGAAATTGCCTTTCACACATAAGGAGTTGCACTGATTCTGTCTAAGGAAGCAGGAAAAACGATTATAGCGTGGGGATCTCATGGACTCAGGATAATCAAGTCATCTTTCAAAGCAAAGAAGAACGAAATCACAATTAATGTTATCCAATGCTATCTTCCCACCAATGATAGCAATGAAGATCGTTTTATTACGAGACTGCACTCGGTCATAAAAAAGTATCCACGAAAGAATGTGATCATCCTGACGGAAGACGTCAACGACAAAGTCGGAATGGACAACATCACATAGACTGGGAGAAAGGAACTAGAATCGAGAAAGATTTGGCAATTTATTTACACTCTATCCAGAACGATTTAGGAGGAAGAAAAATTGCCAGCCGACTGAAAAGAAAGATATCTCATCAACATACCAAAGATTAGATATATGAGCAAATGTGAAAACTACAGAGGCATAACACTAACATCAATATCAAGAAACATCCTCAACAGAGTGTTGCTGAACTGGATGAAAGATTCAGCAGATGCACAACTTCGAGGTCGACAGGCTGGATTCTGTAAGGATCAGTCATGCACAGATCAAATCGCGGCACAACAGATCATTTTTGAACAATCAAGTGGATGGAACTCTTCACTATACATCAACTTGCCTGATTATGAAAAAGCGTTCGTAATGTGGATCGTAGGATTTGATGGAAACTTCGACACTATGATTTGCCTGAGAAAATCGTCAACATCACAAGGAATTCATACAACTGACTACACCGCAACGTGGTGAATGTAAGGCAGGTGACAGACGCATTGCGATTCAGGATGGATGTCAAACAAGGCTTCTTACTCTCACCCTTTCTCATTCTTCTGGTGGTCGACTGGATTATGAAAAACCCAACATCTGAGGGGAAGCACAGAATACAATGGATAGATTGGATGCAACTAGACGATTTAGACTTCACAAATGGCCTAGTTCTCACGTCACATACACAGCAACAAATGGAGGTAAAACTTGTCAGTGTAGCGAAATTTCTACATCAATAGGCCGCAATATACACAAGGTGGAAATCAAGATCCTACAATACAACATAACGAACACCAACTTAATCACACATGATGGAGAAGCATTAGAAGAGGTGGAAAGTCCCATTTACTTGAAAAATATCAGATATAAAAAAGTAGAATCGGATAGAAATTAGAAGGTGCGGATTGGTGAGAAAAGAGCAGCATTCCTACAATTAACTGTCAGCCTACATCAAAGTCAGGAGTTTCAATACAAATGTCAAAAAAGTTAGTTCCATTCTACAGAGTTGAAACTTGAAGAACTATTACAACCATCATCAAAAATTTACAGGTACTTATAAACAATGGTTTACGTAAGATATTCCAAACCCGTTGGCCGGACACCATCAACGACAACCTACTGTAGTAAAGAACAAACCAACTTACATCTGAAGAGGAAATTAGGAGAACACACTGGAGGTGGATGGGATATACATTTCAGAAAACACAGACTGCATCACGAGGCAATCTCTAACTCAGAATCCTGGAGGTGAAAGGAAGAGAGACAAACAAAGAACATATCGCGCCGAGTATTGGAGGCAGATAACAAACGAATGAATACCACTTGGGAATAACATGAAAGGTGAGCCCAAGATAGAGCTAGTTGGGGAATAGTGGGCAGTGGCCTATGCTGCACGAGGGGCGATAAGCGTCAATAAGTTAAATTATTTCATGAGGTAACATACCTGACAAAATTGGCGCGCTTCATCAAACTGTAGACGATCCAAATAGATTTGCCATATTCTACATAATTCATTCTTCATATTTAATCGAGCCAAATGATTATTGCTGAATATCCAAATATGACTAGATAATGAGTCACGCGATATACCCAAAGCCCGTTCACAGCCAATGATATTATTTAACGGCATTGAATAAACTGCTCGACCATCTAAAGTATTCACAGCTTTAATGCGATCCACATAGATAATGATAAGATGAAATTCTGTCAAACAAATGCCTAATGGTACACCAGGTCGTTCAAGCATATGAATAATTGGATACGGGATAAGTTTTGTATTTCGCGTTAAATTAACACCACGACCAGAGAATATATCTTTCGGTCGATTCGGATCATCTGTATTATCAGTGGCAGTAGGTAGAAGGGAAACAACTTCATTTGGAAATGATTTTACATCAATTGGTTGATCATTTGTTGAAAGTTTTGTAAATGGAGGCATACTTAGTTGTTCTGTTCTTATGTAACCGAAGTAAACACCTGGACCTGGAATTTTACAATCAAGAATAAACAGATTTTTAAAAGGAATGTGTTATTGTAATCAAAAATAACATAAACCTATTTATCACATACACAGCAATATTATCAGCTTTGAATTACATCATTTGCGTACATCATAATAGTGTGGTGTATGCTACTAATGTCGAGAGACATCAGTAGTATATGACATCAATCAAAAGTTAAATAGCTGACAGTAGAAGGCCAAGAAGATCCAGTTGAAAGCAGAAATGGAAGTAGAAATGAATTTTGAACTGGAAGAACAAATGAATGAATACCACTTGGGAATAGCATGAAAAGTGAGTCCAGGATGGAGCTAGTTGGGGAATATTGGTCGGCGGCTCATGCTTCATTAAATATAAAAGACAAAAGTAATTAAGCGATTCATTTTATTCACAGATTTGTAATTCATCAAGATTTATCTTTGGATTTCCCGTAGTATTGATTTTTAGACATCTCCGGAACGGCCGTCTAGTGCTTCCAGGTCTAACATCAAACATGTTCATAATCTCAATCAAAAACTTAATATTCTCCACAACCCCACACTGATACTTACAATGTGCTCACTAGTGACTAGTTTTGTGGGGGAATTATTGGGGTTCTAGTGAGAAGGCCTCACCAGTGGAGCTAATTCACATCAGGTAGAGAGAGGTACCTACCTCAGTACAACGGAAGATTGTCACGTAATTTCCTGGATTGGTCGAGGTTAGATATTAACACCGTTGATCTCAATCATAAAAACAAAGATCATTAAAATTTCCAGCGATTATTGATTTTCCTTTCATTACAGTGAGACATAATTCATCTTTTACTGTTTATAACTCGCGGGATTCGAACCCAGGACCTAGCGGTCTCGCGCGCGAACGCTTAACAGTTTGACCACTGATTCGGTCAGCATCCAACAGTGTTAATATCTAACCTCAATCGGTCAATCAATCAATCGGCTCATGATCTCAATCAAAAGCATAATAATCTCCACAATCCCATACTGATAATTACCACTAGTTTTGTTGGATGCCGGCCGGATCAGTGGTCTAGAGGTCAGGCGTACGTTCACGAGACCAATGGCCCTGGACTCGAGTCCCATGGGTCGGTATCGTGGATTTGCATTGCTGAGGAGTCCCACCACATAACAAAACGGCCATGCAGTGCTTCTAGATTTTCAATGGTGGTGTAACATCAGACCAGTTCATTATCTCAATCAAAAAACTTGATCATCTTCACAACTCTATACCGATATCTACTAAAATGTCGGTACCAGTATAGTTTCATATTATATGATATTTATATGTAACAGTTGTATTCTTTATTTTCATACATTTTTTTCTTCAAATTCATCTACTGTTCTATCACTTAATGATCTCATATGGATATACTGAAAAAGATTTGTTTACTTTAATGACAATAATACCGTTTTCTCTTCTCATTAATCAAATCATTACAAATTTGTTTGTTTAAATGGTGTCTAAATAATTTCTTCCGATAGTTACGTTTTGTTTATGATGAATTTCAACAACCATTATAAAGAAGGTACAAGTATTTATTAATGGTTGTCTATGCAAGATACTCAACATCCATTGGCCGGATACCATCAGCAACAGCTCTCTGTGGGAGAGAACAAACCAGCTCCTAGTGGAAGAGGAAATTAGAAAAAGATGATGAAAATGGATAGGATATACATTACGCAAATCATCAAACTGCACCATGAGACAAGCCCTAACTTGGAATCCTGAAGGTGAGCGGAAAAGCGGGAGGTCAAAGAACACATTACGTCAGGAAATAGAGTGAGATATGAAAAGGATGAATAACAACTGGATGGAGCTGGAAAGGATTGTGCAGGACAGGGTCGGATGGACAATGCTGGTGAGCGGCCCATGCTCCTTCATGAGGAGTAACAGGCGTAAGTAAGCAAGTAAGTAAGTAATGATCTCATATGGATATACTGAAAAAGATTTGTTTACTTTAATGACAATAATACCGTTTTCTCTTCACATTAAACAAATCATTAAAAAATTTGTTTGTTTAAATGGTGTCTAAATAATTTCTTCCGATAGTTACGTTTTGTTTATGATGAATTTCAACAACAACAACAAAAATATGAAAAAAATCAAACCAACATCAAACAAGAATAATAAGCTTTCTTCTTTAAATACTGATGATTGTAATAAGTGTTATTCCTTTCTTTTTTATTCACTATTCCGTCTGGTTTAAATTACTCCAAGGTCAAGGTCAACAGCGTTTTTTAAAGAAAAACAACAACAACTCTGTACTCAAAACGCGTTACTTTAATTATCTTCAATTTAGATTGTTTATTAGCTTAAGGCATTTAAAATCAGACTATTTTTTTAAGAAAAGAATGTTAGAAGTTGAGATCTTTGTGCGATGCCAAAGTGACCATGAGGAGTGTTCAGCTATGTGTTAGAACTAAATAAGGATTATGAAGTAGTTTAAAGAATAAGGATGATGATTTATAATTGAGAGTTAAGAATAGGCATTAGGTACTTAGCGTCTTTCATCATGAATTGACATCAGTTATAATGTCAAAATGCTATTTAGCCAAATAGATAAAGAGTTCGCATTGTTACAAATGGCCACATTAGGTTGAATAAACATTTTCCCAGATTGTAAGCAACAAATACATCAAACTACCAATAAACTGCAATATAAACTATGTAACAAGTACAAATATGAATTAAAATGAAGAGTGACGGAAAAAAATTCTGTTAATAGCTGATAATAAACGATATCTAAAATCTTCGACAACATGTAACATATGCGCGCGAACCCACAACTTGACTTCGTGACCGTCTCCCATTTAACCATACAAATGAATGAATTTCGCGCCAAAGCCGACGATTTACTTTCTTAAATCGGATTGGTTTATCTATCAATTATAGCCTCCCCTTCAGTTTTTAACATATTTTAAAACTGATTATAGAAATTGTCATCCTTAAATGATCAGAAAGTATTGGACAATAAGATCTAGAAAAGAAAATTAGTTTCCATTGTCAGTCTCCTTCAAAATTAATGGGTTCTTCATTGTGTAAAGTATAATCTGATAAGTAAAATCTACCATTTTGTAAAATGTTATCTTAACTGACTCTATCGGAAGCTGTAAGGTAACGTATAGATTTAACAAAAGTACATGATAAATGACAGAGTAGATTCACTGCAACGGTTACAGCTTAATATGAGTTCACGTAAATCATTACCCCTATTTTCGAAATAAATCTAATATATATATATATATATATATATATATATATATATATATATATATATATATATATATATATATATATGCAGATAGAGAGATACGTAGATAGGTAGGTAGGTATCGTCAAATGATCATATAGCAATTTCAATGTAACTGAAAAACATAGTTTTAACAAGCGAGCAAATATCTCCTAATATTTGCAACCATGCTGTGACAGTATTAGTCAATGAGATCATTCTATTCAAGTTTACCGCTGAAGCAATAATAATAATAATAATGTTGAAATTGTCCGTCGATTCATATAGCCTTCTCATAATTTATACAAAACAAATTTGGTCCGTATTCATATTTGAGAAGAGAAACTATGGTACGATGGTGAAACTGTAAATTATAGAAAACGTTTGAATGACACAAAACAGACCTTAAGAATCTCCACCTATTTACTAGGGCTGAATGACGGTTATAAAGCAGTGTAAAGAATAAGGACCATCATTTACAGTTGGTGGTTAGTATTAGAAATTAGATTTAGAGTTTTCATCACGAACTGACATCAGCTAAAATGCCAAAACGCCAAAATCCAAGACCTGTTATCCCAAATCTGATTGGCTTGTCCATACATTATAGTCCCGCCACAACAATTTTCGAATTTCCCGCAATATTTTCCATGAGATTCACTCTAAAATTCAATGCATTCATCCTACAGAAAAGATGACAAAAGCAAGGATCAGTATAGGGTTGTGAAGATCATTTAGTTCTTTTGATTGAGATCATGAACCGATTGATGTTAGACCACCATAAGAAGCACTAGACGGTCATTTCATCTTATTGTGGGACTCCTCAGCAGTGCCCATCCACGATCCCGCTCGTGGGATTCGAACCCAGGACCTAGCGGTCTCGCGCGCGAACGATTAACAGTTTGACCACTGATTCGGTCAGCATCCAACAGTGTTAATATCTAACCTCAATCAATCAATCGGCTCATGATCTCAATCAAAAGCATAATAATCTCCACAATCCCATACTGATAATTACCACTAGTTTTGTTGGATGCCGGCCGGATCAGTGGTCTAGAGGTCAGGCGTACGTTCACGAGACCAATGGCCCTGGACTCGAGTCCCATGGGTCGGTATCGTGGATTTGCATTGCTGAGGAGTCCCACCACATAACAAAACGGCCATGCAGTGCTTCTAGATTTTCAATGGTGGTGTAACATCAGACCAGTTCATTATCTCAATCAAAAAAAATCAAAGATCACTAAAATTTTCTGCGATCACTGATTTTCCTTCCATTACAGTGAGACATAGTTCATATTTTACTGTTTATAACTAAAAATTATGCGTAATTTGTAATTTGAATAATACAACTGTCCAATGAAATTGTTAAATAATCCTTTAACTATAGTGACACTAAAATATTACTCTTTTCTCTCATTAAACCAAAAAAATCATATATATTGAACAAAGATGGATAGTGGCTAGCAGTGAAATCCAGGACGCGCGTTTCATCTTATTTCGTACTCGTCATTTGGATGTAATTGCATCCCAGAGTTGATGTTCACTCCGGGACTCGAACCCGGTACCGTTCACCTCAAACGCCATTGGTTTTCTTCGTTTTTGCAATAACAACATTTAACTAAATGGTATGAAAACTCTTTGATCTAACCGACCGACAAAATGTCATTTAGAAACAAAAACAAAATATTTACAAATTTTGAATATTTCTATCAATATCAAACACAATTCAACCAAGATGGTCTGTATTAGACAGAAACAAAAAAAGTTTACTAGTTTATTATTGTCATTATGGCAATCAGTTAGACTAATTAAACCTAAAGAATGCTCATTATTGTCTTGTTTAATGTATTGAATTTCTCCATATTTGGCAATGATTATTATCATTATCACTACTATTGATGTTACATTTGTACAATTCATTAATGATATTGAAACAGTATTATTCTGAAAAATTCATTTAATTATTATAAATAATTAGATTCTTTAGATTAATATTCAAATGGTACAAATGATTTGGTTGTCATAGTTACTAGGTCAAATTTGATGATTTATTGTTCAATTTTATAATGTCAAACTTTCAATTCATTTAAATTTCTACAAAGACTCATAGTGTAGTGAATGAGAATACAAGCGAAAACGAATCGAATACATCTGAATACGAACTTATAGCACATTTTAATACAATCTGAGAACCATACAGTAGAAACTTCATTTGCAAAATGTTAAACAATTATCTCAGATTTAACTGTTTCTTCTTTTTTATATAAATTACTCTCAGTTCTCTTTCTCTTCTGTTCGATCTTCTTAACCTTCTGCTTCCAGGTATTTAATTTCCGATTGATGATACATACTGATTATGTCTATTGACATCAGTAGCATAAACCACACTCATCCATTCTTAAAAGCAGTTGTTCTTGCGGTGGTTCTGTTCACCGTGCGACTTTCTTCTTTTTTGCAATCTGTGTCAAAATGTTGAGTCTGCTGTGCGTCAGCTTTTATAACTCCGTCGACTTACTGTGCCATTAAAATTCGAACATCAAAACAGTTCTACTGTGTGCAACTGAAACTTAGAAAACTAACACAAATATACCCAATAATGTACAGATATTTCGAAAGGATTGTCTACACAAGATACTGAATGTTCGTTGACCGGATAACATAAGCGACATTCTACTGTGGGAGAGAAGAAACCAGGTTGCAGTTGAGGAGAATATTAGGATAAGTCATTGTAAGTGGATATGACATACTTTTGTGAAATCAACAAACTGCATGACGATGCGAGCGTTAACTAGGAATCCTAACAGGAAACAGATAAGCAGAAGACCATAGAACACAATGCATCGAGAATCGTAAGCAGACATGAAAAGGATGAATCAGAATTAAAATTAATTGAAAACGATTGCTTAGGTTAGGGTTGTATGGAGAATGCTGGTGAGCGAGCTTTGCTGCTCTATGAGGGGTAACAGTCGTATGTAATCATGTAAATTATCACGTCATATTAGTATACTTCTAGTCTCTATAAGAAAAGTACATTTGTTGAAAGACTAAGAATGCGCGCTTAGCGTTGATAAGTAGGAATAGCCTTTTGTATAAGAAAAGATTGATTGAGCAATGCTTGAAAAAAATTGTTCTTTCATGTGAATAAGCGGATTCAGATAGGTGTTATGGTCCTGTCACTTCCGGTACAAGATGTTGGCAAGAAATGACGTTGCCAAAGCTGAGACATTATACAAATATTTTAATAAAATGTATTTACTGCCGACTTCAAAGGACCAACCATTAACCTCAATAATGGCAAATTATCGGTGGAATTATCGGTGAGAACACGTCTGCCATAACATTTGTTGAAAATGTAAAACGTTATAGGTCTACTGGTTCTAACGATATCGATCCTATGCTTATGAAAGCTTTGGGCGATGTAATTCTCAAACCTCTGTTAATGCTTTATTTATATGCTCTTAGGCAGTCTAAACTGTCGATAAACTGAAATGATGCAATCATAATCTGGCTTGTAAACGGGGATCAGAGAACTAGTTAGTAACCATCGCCTATTAGTCTTACAATTGTGATCACCAAACTGGTGGAAAAGGTTATTCAGATGTCTTTTCTCCACTGTTTGGTAGGAAATAATCTTCTAGTCAGATAACAATGTAGACTCAGTAGAGATCTTTCCTGCTTTTCAGATTTCACTGCAGGAGATTTGGCTTTAGCTTACTCACTTACTTACGTTACTCCTCGTAAAGGAGCATAAGCCGATCATCAGCATTTTACATCCAAACCTGTCCCGGGCGATCCCGTCAAGCTCCTCCCAGTTGTTATTCATACTTTTCATATCTCACTCTATTTCCCGACATAATGTGTTCTTTGAACTTCCTCTTTTTCGCCTACCTTCAGGATTCCAAGTTATGGCTTGCCTCGTGATGCGGTTTGATCATTTGCGTAATGTATGTCCTATGCACTTCGATCGTCTTTTCTTAATTTTTTCTTCATCTGGAAGCTGGTTTGTCCACTCCCACAAAGGGCTGTTGCTGATGGTATCCGGTCGATGAATCTTGAGTATTTTGCATAGACAACTATTCACATATACTTGTACCTTCTTGATGATGGTTGTTGTAGTTCTCCAAGTTTCAGCTCAGTACAATAGGACTGCCTTCACGTTCGTATTGAATATCTTCACTTTGATATTAGCTGAAAAAAACGTTTTGAGTTTCATATTGTTCTTCAATTGTAGGAATGCAGCCCTTGCTTCGCCAATCCTCGCCTTTATGTTTGCATCTGATCCTCCTTGTTCGTCGATGATGTTCCCCAGGCATGTGAAGGATCCAGAGTTTCGCCATCATGAGTGGTTGGATTGCTGTTCGTCGTGTTGTATTTGAAGAGTTTGCTTTTTCCTTGGCGTAGGTTGAGGGCAACTGATGCAGAGACTGCTGCTACACTGGCTGTCTTCATCTGCATCTGTTCGTGTGTACGCGATAGGAGGGCTAGGTGATCTGCGAAGTCCAAATCGTCTAATCGATTCTGAGCTGTCCATTGAATTCTGTGTTTTCTCTCGGACGTTGAGGTCTTCATAATCCAGTCGACCACCAGAAGAAAGAGGAAGGGAGAGAGTAAACAGCCTTGTCTGACTCCGGTCCTTACTTGGAATGCATCTGTCAGCTGTCCTCTATGCACGACCTTGCACTGTAGTCTGTCGTATGAGTTCTGGATAACATTGGCAATCTTCTCAGGAACTCCGTAGTGTCGAAGAAGTTTCCATAATGTCCTCCTATCTACACTGTCGAATGCCTTTTCATAATCACTGAATTTGACGTATAGTGACGAGTTCCACTCAACTGATTGTCCGGCGATGATCTGTAGTGTGCGATTTGGTCTGTGCACGACCGATCCTTACGGAATCCAGCTTGTGATCTCGAAGTTGGGCGTCTACTGCATCCTTCATCCAGTTCAGCAACACTCTGTTAAAGACTTTCCCTGGTATTGACAGTAGTGTAATGCCTCTGTAGTTTTCACATTTGCTCAGATCTCCTTTCTTTGGAATCTTGACGAGGTGTCCTTATTCCCAGTTCATTGGCACTTGTTCATCCTCCCAAATCTTTTTGAATAGAGGGTAAAGCATGCTTGTGGTTACTTCGACGTCTGATTTCAGTGCCTCAGCTGCTTTCCTGTTCCTGATTTGTCTGACGGCCATTTCGATTTCTTCCGTCGTTGGTGGGTTGACATCTATATGAAGATCTGTGTGTGCGGCTTCGATGTTCAGTGGATTCATTGGAGCTGGCCTATTCAGGAGTATTCTACCCATCTGTTCCGCTGTTATTGAATTTCGGTGATTGGTTTGCCTTCTTTGTCTTTGACCGGCCTCTCTGGTTTACTGTATTTCCCTGCTAGTTTCTTCGTTGTATCGTAAAGCCGTTTTATATTTCCTTCTCTAGCACCTTTTTCTGCCGTCGTTGCTAGTTCTTCCACGTATTTCTTCTTGTCGGCTCCAATGCTCCTCTTCACTTGTTTGTTTGCTTCAATATATTCAGCTTGTGCTTGAACTTTCTCTGCTCGTGTTCGGCTGTTGTTAATTGCTGCCTTCTTGTTCTTCCTTTCTTTGATCTTGTCCAGTGTTTCTATAGAGATCCAATCCTTATGATGGTGTTTCTTTAGACCCAGAACCTCTTGACACGTCGAAGTTAATGCTTCTTTGATGCCTTTCCAGTTGTCCCCCATACTAGTTTCTTCTTCTTTCAGTAGATCTTGTAAGGCTTGGAACCTGTTGTTGAGAATTCATTGAGTTTGTCAGTATCTCGAAGGAAGGCTGTATTGAACCTTCGTATTGCTGTTTGTCCACTTGTCCAGTTCTTTTTTAGCTTCAGTTTTAAATTGGCTACAACTAGGTGGTGATCTGAAGCTATGTCAGCTCCTCTCCTGGTTCTCACATCTTCCATTGTCCTTCGGAATTTTTTGTTGATGCAAATATGATCTATCTGGTTCTCTGTAGTGTAGTCCGGTGAGATCCATGTAGCCTTGTGTATACGCTTGTGTGGAAATATTGTGCCGCCTATGACCATTTCGTTGAAGGCACACAAATTTGCAAATCTCTCTCCATTTTCGTCCCTTTCTCCCAGTTCGTGCCGTCCCATGATGTCTTCATATCCAGTGTTGTCCGTTCCAATCTTGGCGTTGAAATCTCCCATCAGAATGGTCAGGTCCTTTGTTGGGCACTTCTCGATGATTGACTGCAGCCTATTGTAGAATTGATCTTTAGCGTCTTCATTGTAGTCGTTGGTAAGCGCATAGCATTGGATGATGTTCATTGAAATGCCCTCTTTCTTTGTTTTGAACGAGGCTTTGATGATCCTTGGTCCATGAGATTCCCATCCTATAAGTGCATTTTGTGCTCGTTTGGACAGCATCAGTGCAACTCCTTGTGTATGTGGTGCATTTTCTTCTTCATAGCCGGAGTATAACAGGAACTCTCCTGTAGTTAGTCGTTGTTGTCCAACTTGCGTCCAATGTGTTTCACTGCTCCCAAGTACCTCTAGGTTGTATCTTCTCATTTCTGCAGCAATCTGGAAGGCTCTTCCGGTGTCCCACATTGTACGAACATTTCATGTACCTAAATAAATGGTCGCTCTGGTTGTCAGAAGGGGCATCGGCCTCGTAACTTCCGAAGGAATTCGGCTTTCATCATGAGGCGTCATAATTCTTCTAAATGAAGATCTTCTGACTCCCAGGGCGGAGTTTAAAAGGTTCGAATATTTGTTTCTGGTTAGCGTTTTTTAGCGAGTTAGTATTCTACGGGAAGGGGACGCTAACCCCATCCTCAGCCCTCCTTCTTTGTCCGGGCTTGGGATCGGCATTAACTCAAGAAAAGCTACAGGCGGCGTTGAATTCAGAGGTAAATAGTTATATTCTTGCAACGGATAACCTTCTTTAGACCTAAACACTGTATATCACATAGTATATTATTGCAGGACAACCTAAATTTACTGATTAAATGGATGTATACGTCGTCATCTGAAGTTTATTTTAGTAATAATGTAGTGATGGGAATAAGTAACTGCGATGATTCATATAACTACATAAGTAAAGTGCTGTTATTTAGAGTAAAGGACTATAGAGACCTAAGGGTCTTAAAAATCAACTACCGGAGAACTAAGGGTATTACGTTATTTGGATGAATAAATGTTCGGGTTACTATACTCGATTTTTGAAAGGCTGCATTTGGAAACATGGGACTCAAGCAACGAGTCCCTGCTCCGAGTGCGAAGCAGATAATTTAGAACAAGTCTAATGAAAAGGGAAGAAATGATGATAGGTTTGACTGGCCTATTATATGAAGACAGATTGGATTTTCGTTTCTCTCATGGAGTAACGAACTACTGAAATACTCCATCAGCACTTTCTGTCGATAAAATAACAGCGAGACTGGATCGTCACAGAAACATGAATTACTAGAATTAATCCAAACTACTGAAAGAGTTTAGACCGCCTTAATTGGTTACTGCGCTACATTATGCAGAAGGGTACTCTAAATACTGGTGAACAGCAATCTGTAATTGAAAGCTTTGTTTAACATTTTAAAACATTTTTAGTCTGCTGAATTTTTCGCACATGACGGGATTTTTACACTCGATTCAGCGCAGTGGTTCAGGTACATTCTCTTAGTTTACTAATTGTAAATTTTTTTTACAGAGTAGTGAATTCCTTGACGAATCTGCAAGTTTGTAACAATTATCTGGTCGGTGCTACTTCTAAAAACACCCTAATAAGAACGTCCACTGTTCCTCCTTACAATATATCTGGTTTGTTTCATTATCATATATTTATTCACACATAAATCTTACCCCTACATTTTTGATTGTCCACAAAATTCATAATGATCTTTATATTCTTCAATCAGTATTACACAGTTCCGTGCTAATATATTACAAATTATGAGATTATGTGTACAATTATCTTGTCCTTGCCTATGTAAATAATCTTTATTGGGAAACGTTAGTTGACTTGATTTACGATCTTAATGTCAGAGGTTGGAGTACCTTTTGACTTTTATGTGTAAGAACAGGCTTTGGTCTCCTAACTGTCTGGCTGATGCTTCTAAAAGGCTTTATTGTTATAGATTACGATGAAGAGATAAAAATAATTTGATTACTGTTCTGTGTTGTTTCTTCTAGAAGGTACCTTTTCTTTTGCGTACGCTGACTCACCGGCTCCAACTGGTTAATTCACATTCAGAGTGCAGAACTGCTGTTAGTATATATATATATATATATATATATATACTAAGAAACGTCACAATACATGATTAACATTGTTATAATACATGTCCTTAATGACTCTGTCTAGCCGTTCTAACATGGATATTTAAAATTTTATTATAACGATATATATGACTAAAGCTAAGTACCTCATATGACTTGCTATTGGTCTCTCCAATGTAGTTCTCAGGGTCCTATAGTTGATAAATGGAAGTGCTCTGATTTCAAAACAGCGACGACCGTAAGGTAAAGTAGATTCATCGTCTAAAATCAAAAAATATATTTTCTTATATCTCGTGGAGCACTAAGAAGTACTTGTGGACAATGTTATTCCGTGATTTTGTGTTTGCTACGGGAAGATTAATGGTAGTCATATTGAAAACTGAAATATATTTACTTTGGTTCGTTTATTAATTTATTTGAACTTATTTCTGACAAGGTATCACTTCAAGCACTATGTATGGTCGATTATTAGTCTGAAATTTAAGAAAATTTAAAATTAGAATACTGAAATCATTATTTTTACTAAGGGTATTACCAAGCACTCATAAACTTACATAATAATGGAATGCTCCTGTTATGCACTCATAGCTTAATTTAAGCTAGTCTTTCGAAACAATAATTTCACATAAATAAATTATCGTTTTTCGCTCTGCACTACTGTTTTATGAACCGTAGTACGAATATCCATTTAGTTTCTGCTGTTTGCTCATATTTAATGATTCTTTCATGTAGAATTCTTTTTATGAAACTGGAATTTTCAGCATTATTTCCATTTATATCTAGAAATTGAAATTAGCCGCCTTTCAGATGACCGAGTCCATAATATTTTTCTGGATCCTATGGGTTGGCATACTGTAATAAGTATGCAGTCTGGCACAAATTTCTACATCAATAAAGGTATGAAAAAGGTTCGCCCTTTAAACAAGACAAAAGTGAGTGTTTGTATATCGTATTTGATTTGATGAAAATATTTCATTTATTTCGCACTAAAAAGTTAATCAAGACCAATGTGCTATACTTTACTCTGGAAGTTTCACTATCGTTTTTCGACAAATCATATAATAAAACGCATAGGTTTTTATTTACATGTTCTTGTTTGGAGTTAGTTGAATTCTTTTCCAAACTTTCTAGCATGACTATTAAAAATTACCACTTTTCGCGGATCGCACTACTTTTATGTTTACATAAAAACCACTTATCTGGCTTTGCTGTAATCCTTTGTGTATTCAGACAGAAACTGGACCAAACATACATCAAACTAGATAATCCTCTGCCAGGGAAGTCTTACTCACTGCCTTCTCGTGGCGGGGGTGTTGTTTACGAAAATGAGAGAACAAAAAGCGAATGTCTGGCACTTTAACTGGATTTCAAACCAATGGTGCACATGGGCTCCAGTATCCCAAAGGAACAAATCACGTATGAACCAATCGTTGGCCACCGGCTTCCATGAGACTGCAGCTCCTATCGATGCTCCACGGTCTTGTGGGTCAGACCTTTAGGTCAAGGGCTCGGGGTGTGACCCTCTAAGAAAACCACCTGCTTCGGTTTGGGCACCCGGACAGTATCACAGCCCTCACACATATCGAATGAGATTTGTGTGGCGCATATGTATTTGGTGCCTCCTTGTACCACTATCTATGTGTTAAAATAAAAATAAAATAAAAACAAAAACTTGGTGCGAAAGTCTCCGGAAATGTTGTTGTCGAGACCTTCCTTTTTGTCGTTTGTGGCTCTGAAGGAAAATGCACTTAACATAAAATGTTTATGTTCACTTACAGGGAAATTCACCTCTGGTAATAAAATCGACTGTAAAATGTATATGTAAAGTAATAGATTGATAATGAGTAAATGATCTAAAAATAATGGAACTGTGGTTTAGTGGTTATTTGTGCCGAATTCTAGGCACTTGGTTGTAGGTTCCAACCTCACTCCACCTACTGCTTGTGCAACTAGGTAGTACCAGTAGCCACAGACAAAGTGGAGGTCAACGCCAAGTACCTGATAAATAACTTGAAAACCTAGGAACGTCGGGCTCTTTTATAGGCTTTGAGAGTTTTTAGTATTAACAAAATTAAACTAACAAAGTATTTTTTCTAAAAGTTTATGAAAAGTAATATTAACGTTAGCAAAAGCTCAAAACGAATAGGCTAAGTACGATGCTGAAAAACTTTATCTAAAAATTAGCAACTATAATTCCGGTCATGAGCCACGTGATCACTCTTAATCTACTATTAATCCGGTATGGTTTTTTCATCAATCTTCTAGTTAGCTTCAGAAATCTTGTGTAACTCACGCTAATTTGTATAGAGTTACTAACGAAATCCCATCTTTTCAACGTTTTACCCAATATATTTATTTACCGTTCGATTTTGTATTTTAGGATCATTTGTTTGACTCTATAGCTTGGAATCATCATAATGTTAATGAATTGTCTACACAAGAAATTTTAATCGGTACAAATGATGGACTAATATTTGAAACAATGCTTATGTTTAATGAAGATAGCTTTTTTAGTTCGGGAACTATTGAACAGTATTGGATCCAGGCAAGATGAACATTTTACTTTTTTACTGTTTATGATCGTCCAATTTTTTGATTAGTAAATTGGCTTGTAAAGCTGTGGCCTAATAATTGAAGTACTGTACTTTCAGTTTGTGTTTTGCATCACGAATAAGACTTAGCAAGATAGCCATTGCAAACTAGGATGTGTTAGATGTGTATTTCGCCTCAGTGTAGAGCTCCTTGGCAGTACACCCCGACGATCACCCAGTAGTAGAACCCAAGACCTTCAGGTCTTGCGACAAGGGCGTAACGTTTAGACATCTAGGTTGATATCCAATGACTAATAATTGCAAATCTGCTTTCGACTGTCATGTGTCTGTGGTAATGCCGAAATATAAAAGCAACTTCTGCCTATAGTTCGTGCTGATGGTATTAAGAAGAACAATGAAAGCTTCACGTCCAAAACATCTAGCTCAGAGAACGACACTCCACCAAAATCAAAGGGAACGCCTTGCTTACGTCGACGCGCAATGTTCGATGGTATGCGAGTAGGCTGAAAGAAAGCTAGGGGCAGGCAAAGCGAGCTGCTGTATAAGTCGAAAAATAAGGATACATAAGGTGGGAATAAAAGAGAGTGAATAAGTAACGTGGTAAATAATAATAATAATAAATAATAATAATAATAATAATAAATAATAATGATAATAATGTGAATTGTTTGACTATCAATCGAAGCATGAATAGAAATTTCAGTAAATATCGTCATTTTCACTTTATTTGTGTGTGGGCTGTGATACTGCCCGGGTGCCCAGACCGAGGCAGGTGGTTTTCTTAGAGGGTCACACCCCGAGCTCTTGACCTAAAGGTCTGACCCACAAGACCGTGGAGCATCGATAGGAGCTGCAGTCTCATGGAAGCCGGTGGCCAACGATTGGTTCATACGTGATTTGTTCCTTTGGGATACTGGAGCCCATGTGCACCATTGGTTTGAAATCCAGTTAAAGTGCCAGACATTCGCTTTTTGTTCTCTCATTTTCGTAAACGACACCCCCGCCACGAGAAGGCAGTGAGTAGGACTTCCCTGGCAGAGGCTGTATACGCGTGGCCGTGTGAGAGTATTTCGAGAGGGAGGGCGGGCCCACTTCACCCTCGGGCATGCCAGGGCATTGGGGGGCTCCTTGTACTACTTTTCTTAGCTCTGTATTCATCTTATGTAGTTAGTTGGATTGTTGGTGTAATGGTTGGTACTCTTACAGAACTCATGTACTTCAAATGTAGCAAGTATTCAGTATGAAAACTGTTTAAATCTTTATTGTGTTACTTATTTATTGCTTATATCTGTGTAAATGTCCAATGGCTTTAAGGTCTGGTGGATTCATATGTTTCCGTAAAATGTTTCCTATTATTTTTGTTTAAGACAATCATAAGTTATAACGACAGTTTAATTTACTTTACATTGAGGTTGATTACTCTTTCTTGAGGCACAAATTTTCTTTAAAACAAGGATTTATTGATTTTTGATTCGTCATTGAATGGTTCCAGACCATATATTACATTTTATAAGTGATGCTCTTATTAAATGAATATATCTAATTTATATCATCTCACTATATTTATAATATTTTTCTATTCAATTTAACTTCTTTCACCTAGATGATTAATTTAGGACATAGTGTAACAGGTGTAGAAGTGATTCGCTTTCCTATTGGTTCGCCTAATGTACTAGTTGGTGAACCGCAACGATGTGTAGTCTTTGCTACAACACCTTGTCGTATGTATCAATTCGCTGGATGGATAAATACTAACAGTTCAACAACCGGTTCAATTTTATCTCATCTAGCAGCAAATACTGCTACATCCGGTATATCCAATGCAATAAATGCTTATACTGGAGGTCATAGGTCTAGTTTAGTGAATGAATATAATCAACAACAATCTGTTGGGATACAAAATACAACTATATTTCCCATTATCACTGGACTATTCTCCAGTGTATTCAACTCAGATGATAAACTACCTGTTGGTAAGTTGTTTTCTTCGTATCGCTGTTGTTTTAAATTTCAGTTTGTTTGATATATATTGCTTAGAAACAAAATTAGAGTTTTGTACCTGTTTATTTCGCAACAACATCTGCTACATTCTAGTAATCAGATTTACTGTCTGGAATCACCATAATTTTTGCGAACTAGAAAGTTTGTTTCTAGTTTGTATTTAGTTGTTTGAGTTGTAAGGCGCTTCCTCTTCGTTGCTATCATCTTTAATATTCCACTCCTTAATACCTTGGTGAGAGAATGAAATAGATAAATCTCATTACAAATCGCATCACATCATGTCCTGTTTAGCATCTTAATATTAAATGTGATTCATGGGGACACAGTCATTTTACAAGACTTTTGTGTATTCTATTTGGTATTAGATTCTGTATCAACCAGCTAAATTTCTTAACGTCGCTTCAGCAGGAGGCCAATAACCATTATTCTTTATTTCGAATTTCTGTAAACACGAGTTAATAGAAACTTGGTCGACGTGGAGGATGAGTTGTAACCAGAAAGGTAACCGAATATGCCTCATTTTAATCCCTCCGTGGGAAACAGTTCTTATGGAGTGCCAATCAGAAGTAGCCTAATGAAAAAGCCGATCGACAGCATTCAGAACTGACATAAAGGTCAAGTGCGTTTCATTGGGGTTAAAATGGGTCGATTTCTTTAAGATTGACTGGTATTTATATATTGATATTTGTGCATTTTTCGGTATCCCAATACACTTTCTCGCCCACTCTTGTGTTCTCGCTCAAGTAGTCATTTGGGGTTTAGCTCGTAGCACACCGTGTGTCAACACCAGATTTCGGACACCACACGTCACTACAATAGAACACAATTATGTCTGTTGAAATCAGTTAAAGATGTTTAAGTGATGCTTCTAAAGTAAATTATCAGTTTTCAGGCTGTAATTTAATAGTTTAGGCACTGAACTCTGAACTACAGAGTTACATGTTTGATCACTGTTTCACTAATCGAGGTTTTAATTGTAGAAGTTGTAGGAGTAATCTCTTTTGCATAGTGACGAAATTGATTTGTGTAAAAGCACAGATAAAAGCACACATATTTACTTAGCCTGTGAAATTAAGGCTTCCTAAGCAATTTTAATCTTATTCTCTAAGCTGACTGAGAATTCATCAATTAATGTACATTATCACTAAATTGAACTGGTAGGGAATCATTTTAAAAAATCATTAAATCTAACACAAATCAGCAATTACTTAGACAAATTCATTAAATAATCTTCTTATAAGAATCAAACACTCACAGTTCAATTTATTCTAATAAATTTCACCCCAAATACCCTGGTATGGTCGAGGGAGGGGAGAGTCGGCTCTCCCTCTCGAAATATGCTCGCATGGACACGCGTATAAAGCAAATGCCAGGGAAGTCCTATTCACTGCCTTCTCTTGACGGAGGTGTTCTTTAGAAAATTGATAGGACAAAAGCGAATTTCCGACACTTTAACAGGGTTGGTGGACACGAAGTTTCCCCCAAGGGAGTTAGAAAACCACAATTTCAAGCCAATGGTGTACACGGGCTCCAGTATCTTTAAGGAACGAATGGCGTATGAACCAATTATTGGCCACCGGCTACCATGGGACTGCATCTCCTTACGTTGCTCCATTACCTTGTGGATCATACCTTTAGGTCGAAGGCTCCGGTTGTGGCCCCCTAAGAAAGTCAACTGCGTCGGTCTGGGCACTCAGGCGGTTTCACAGCCCACATACAAATCAAGTAACTTGTATGGCACATATGTATTCGGTGCCCGTTTGTACCAATATCTATGTGTTCAAATAAATAATTAAATAAGGTTTCAGCTTACATGTTTTTTTCCGGATCAGAAGGACAGATGTATATGTAGCGACTATTTATGTTCGTAATCATTCATTTCTATCATTCACAGACTCCTAGTCATTTCTCAGTTGCATTACTGGTTGATCAAACATTTGGGAAGCGTTTAGTTTAATAGAATTTCACGGATCGTAGTAATTTCAACAGCTCATATTTTGTATCGTAGCCTTAAAAATATTGGCGTACAACATTTTAAACTACTGAAAGTTATGATGATGTAATAAGTATTTTGTTGCACAGATTTCATATTATTCGAATGAGTACATTAATCAATGACTTGTTGTTTAATTTTCTTTCAATGTCTAGGATCCAAAGTTACTGAATTTCCCGGAAGTTTTGGATATAGTGATTTAAAACTTTATCGTAATGTAAAAGATGAACTCCCTAGTAAATTTGCTTGGATGACAGGTTAGGGTTATCCTATTTGTTTAATATAGTTGTATCTCAAATTAAAACCAGTGAATATATTCTATTTGTATTAATGCATTCCAAATTATTCATCTCAATTATACTTTGACAATGCTATGAGATGATGAAGTTTATCTGATGTAGTATGGTATACTATTAGCCCAATACATTTCAAGCAATCTGATTGCATATTCACTTGTTAAGGTATTTCTGCTTAAAAAATAAAAGATTGAAACAAATTTGAATATAAAAAAGATAAAGATAATATGAAGTGCACTATTCTGGATCATAAATTGATATTACCAGAGCAAACTCAAAGTAAAAACAAATTGTTTTCAAGCATGGTAAAAAGGGTTCGAGTCTTTGTATGGTTAAGGCTTCAATAAACTTAATTGTTTATCCTAGGCAATTTTTATACGAAACTATAAAAGCTAAGTTGGAAACGCGTGTTTCATCCTATTTGGAACTTCTCAGCTGGATAAATTTGCAATGCTGAGTCTATGCTTACTCTGGAACCTGAAGTCAGTACCTTTTACCTTAAACGTCAGCGCGTTATCTACTTACATATTGGGATCAATAACAAAATCAGTCGAGGTTACAGCATCAGTGGTAGTAAAAGTGATTAAACTCTTTAATATACAGTTCGAAAAAGAGTTATAGATTCCAGCGATAAGTAATACGAAATTATATTTAATTTCAAGTCTGAGGAGACGACACAGATTGAATACATTTGCACCATTTTGACTGATTGTAAGCCATGTGACCTAGTATTTTGAAATATTAATCTGAAGTATCACATGGACCGCAACCAGGTAGTCTGCATCCACCAATACGACTTAGTTCAACAGTTAATGGCTTTATAAACTGATGCCATGCCTTGGTTTGGCCTCTCTATTTTCTTCCTCAACCTACTACTCAAATGAACATAGTTCGTTGTGAAACGTAATGATGACTTCAATTGCATACACATATGTTTCATTAAATGTTATTTGATTTATTTATAAAGTCATAGAATGATGGAATATCTAGTCTTGAGAAGATTATGAAATAAGCTTCTCTGTAGTGTCGAATTTTCTAGTGTATAATTTAATATCCAAAAATGAATCACATTTACCCTGTATATTTTACCCAAAAAATTTACGCTTTCCTACTCTACTCAAACTAACAATCAATAATTTGGCCTGTTAATTTTAATGTCTAAATGGCTATGGTTAATTTAGCTCCTTTTCCAAACCACCGCTGCTTTCGTAAACATACCTCACTGAGGTTGGCCATCTTTTTCATACACGTGTGATATTTATCTGTTGATATAATCTCGAGTTATCTGGATTTCTTGAATAATTGTTAGTTAGTTATGTCGTACTTAAGGTAAAAATCATGATGCAATTTTTTCTTTATCATGCTATTCTAAATATACATGAATGTAGCGGCTTTTAATCAACGGGCAACAGTTCTAATTATCTCCTCGCAGCCACTTTAATCTGAACAATTGGTAGTTAGTGCTACTGTAATGAACATGAACACAGGTGGGGTCAACCAACGTATTTTAATACGAAATTACAAAATACCTTGGTTAAATATGAGAAGCATACATTGAATACTTCATTTGCGAATTCCCATCATTTGTCCTTCACACTCTGTATTGTTCTTCCAGTTCAAAATTCATTTCTACTTCCACTTCTGTTTTCAACAGGATCTTCTTGGCCTTCTACTGCCAGCTATTTAACTTTTGATTGATGTCATATACTACTGATGTCTCTCGACATTAGTAGCATACACCACACTACTATGACGTACGCAAATGATGTAACTCAAAGCTGATAATATTGCTGTGTATGTGATAAATAAGTTTATGTTATTTTTGACTACAATAACACATTCCTTTTAAAATCTCTTTATTCTTGATTGTAAAATTCCAGGTCCAGGTGTTTACTTCGGTTACATAAGAACAGAACAATTAAGTATGCCTCCATTTACAAAACTGTCAACAAATGATCAACCAATTGATGTAAAATCATTTCCAAATGAAGTTGTTTCCCTTCTACCTACTGCCACTGATAATACAGATGATCCGAATCGACCGAAAGATATATTCTCTGGTCGTGGTGTTAATTTAACGCGAAATACAAAACTTATCCCGTATCCAATTATTCATATGCTTGAACGACCTGGTGTACCATTAGGCATTTGTTTGACAGAATTTCATCTTATCATTATCTATGTGGATCGCATTAAAGCTGTGAATACTTTAGATGGTCGAGCAGTTTATTCAATGCCGTTAAATAATATCATTGGCTGTGAACGGGCTTTGGGTATATCGCGTGACTCATTATCTAGTCATATTTGGATATTCAGCAATAATCATTTGGCTCGATTAAATATGAAGAATGAATTATGCAGAATATGGCAAATCTATTTGGATCGTCTACAGTTTGATGAAGCGCGCCAATTTTGTCAGGTATGTTACCTCATGAAATAATTTAACTTATTGACGCTTATCGCCCCTCGTGCAGCATAGGCCACTGCCCACTATTCCCCAACTAGCTCTATCTTGGGCTCACCTTTCATGTTATTCCCAAGTGGTATTCATTCGTTTGTTATCTGCCTCCAATACTCGGCGCGATATGTTCTTTGTCTGCCTCTCTTCCTCTCACCTCCATGATTCTGAGTTAGAGATTGCCTCGTGATGCAGTCTGTGTTTTCTGATGTTTTCTGAAATGTATATCCTATCCACCTTCAGTGTGTTCTCCTAATTTCCTCTTCAGATGTAATTTGGTTTGTTCTTTACTACAGTAGGTTGTCGTTGATGGTATCCGGCCAACGGATTTGTAGTATCTTGCGTAGACTATTGTTTATAAGTACCTGTAGGTTTTTGATGATGGTTGTAGTAGTGTGGTGTGAGCTACTTATATTGATATGAGTAGTATATAACGTGAGTTAAAAGAACGTGATGTATGGCAGCAGAAAATGGGGAAGATCAAGAAAGGAAGAGCGAGAACACAATGGAATTTGTGAGAAAACGCATGAACAATGGAATGGGAGACAATGGATTGGTGTTTGCAACAGAAACAGTCCAGTTTGGTTTGATGCATGAATATTTTGCAAATTGACAATTTACTATATGGTATTCAGATTTTATTGAGGTAGTCTGTAATTGTAGTGTCAAATACATTCGATTGTCCCCACTCGTGTTCTTTTCACTACAGTAGTTCTTGAAGTTTCAACTCTGTAGAATGGAACTAACTTTCTTGACGTTTGCATTGAAACTCCCGAATTTGGTGTTGGCCGACAGTTGTTTTGAGTTCCATATGTTCTTTAATTGCAGGAATGCTGCCCTCTCCCCGCATGCGGCACTTTTAAGTTTACTGCCAGTTCGAGGCCCGGATAATGAGAAGGGTCGAGCATGTGGTTAACAACTCCATCCCGTAGAAAAGAACCTTGTAAAAAAGTTAAATAATAAGAGTGTGAGTAATATTCCATGTGTTGTAGTCCGTATAACATTCTGTTCTAAACATGTTTCAGTTTTCCCTAACAAAAAAGGTTTTTAGTCGGGAACGACTTGTAAATAGATGAAGTATGTTAAAAATCTATCATCTCATCAGTCTATCTGCTAAACTGTTTGCCTTATTATCAAATGTCGACACTTTAAGGTGTTCTGATCCCATGAGTCACTGTCGTAAGAAAGTCAACTGATAAGATATTTTATTTCGTCTAGGTTCCATGTTTGTTGGTCAATAAACTTGCGTTATCTGCAGATAATAAAATAAATCTGTCATAGATTAAAACCTGTGTTTTTTAAGCGATATACGGAAATAGAGTTTAACTAAACTAGTGTGGTAACTGATGATAGTATGGTCATTATGAAAAGAATATTCTACTGGTTCAGGAAAAGTGAACATTAATTCAGCTTTTCCCAAGTCTAAACGGCATTTTTATCCTGCTAGAAACGATATGAGTGTCTAATACCCTTAAATTATGGACATTTTACTATCTAACGTTTGTGCGCCATCTGAGCAGTAGTTCGACATTACACCATTTATTCTCATATTTGAACATCGTCCTACCTCCTTCCACTTGGCCAACCGTGTAGCGTCACTAGCCCTCATACTTAGATTATCTCAAAGTCAAGAAGACAAACTTCTACCTGGAAAATAAGTTGAGTTTTGTGTTAAGTCACAACAAAAACAATCATGATATGTTTGGTCAGTCTACATCTGTTTTAATATTCGAAACTAAGCACGGAAATCATCAATAACTTATTATTTTATATACGAGTTAGATTTCGAGTGTGTTGACTAAACGAGGATATCTCATCTCATCTTTTTTTCATCAGATAGAACAACTATTAAATCTCAGTCAATGTTGCAAATCAGTTCTGTCTCATTCCTCTTAGTGACTTGATCAATGGAATTCAATCAAAACTTTGTTATCTTTAGAGTTTAGATTGTTCATATACCTCGTAGTACTTGAGCACTCGAACGTCAGAACCCTCCAAGTCTCAAATGAGAAAACAGAGGACGAATGAGGAGGAATGTTATTCCAAACAGTGTCAAATATAGTACAAAACTCCCAGGTATTTATAGTTTTTAGTAAAAACGAAATCGTCATTAGAGCCATTCAATCCGCATACAGTGGGTTTTAGCATTTGTCTATTAGGAGAGCTACATGTCGAGACTATAGAGTGTTCTTCCAAAAGATGATTGGATGGAATGCCTTCGGCTCTTCCTGAGCCTCTTTGGGTTCACCCTTGGACCGTCTTCATAACTTAGAAGGACTTGTAATAAATGACATTGGTCACTACCGAGTGACCGATCAATCGTAAATACATTTTAGTCCTACAGGCGGTCAGTCGTGGCCCGGATACCTTAGTGTTTACGTCTCTGACAGTGAAGCTGGGTGACATAAGACCGAATGCATGAAGTAGCACTAGTTCCCCCAAGACTACATGTACACCTTGTTGGTGAGTACCATATAGGACGAAATCTAAGTCTAGGGTCTCCTGACAGCTACCTCCAACCATCATCTTATTCCTTATAATTTGCAGTTTTATCCTATTTAATTGGAATAGGTATTATTACCTCATTGTTGTTATCTTATCATCTTGATCGTATTTATTAATCAATCTTTTATTTCTTCTTGTTCCACGCATAAAAAAAGGATCCTGGTCAAATGGATACCATCAATATACGTGAAGCGGAATATAATTTTGATAATGAAAAGTAAGTACAATTTTACCTGTAAACTCATTTTTTGTCCCACATTCAACAATTATTTATTCTCATTGATTTTTGAAACTGTGGTCTCCTACATTATTACAAAAAAAAACAGGATACCTAATATACTGTCATTATGTTGAGTTTATTTACAGTTCCCATCCTTGACACCTACGTTTTCGTACTTGAATATTCTAATATGTAATCGGAGGCTTGTAATGACCACTCATCTATGCGATTGCATAGAATATAGTTTATTGCTATAAAGTTCCGTTCACTTTCTACGCTTAATAATGTTATTTCTTCTGATCGGAAAAAAATTAAACAAGAGTTGGACAAAAATTGAATCGATGAACATACAGAGTATGAGATTGTTTTCCACGGAAATGATTTTAAAGTGGTTAATATCCGTTCATCATACAAAATTTTGCATAATTTTAAACCAATCTTGTATCTTGTAGTATTCGAATAAATAATAGTTTAAAAAAACTCATTAAATACAAGCTTATTTAGTCGGTTTTGAGATAATGTTTAGATATGAGTGGCAGTGAAACTATTACCTACCTGTCTAAATCTAAATAGATGGAGAAGCGGGATTCCAATCTACCAACCCAATTGATTGAAAGTTATGTGCTTCTAGATTTTAATTCACTGATTTAAATCATCCAAGCAAAATGTTCAATAACATTCTAAAATGGAAAAAATACTGTGGTATTAATTCTAAAACTTCAGTTCTTATATGTGCACTTGTCCAAGTTGCCAGATCATATCAGCACAGTTGTTGAGATAAATGCCAATGTAATAGAATTAATAACAATACCAGTGACAGTTGAAAAAACTAGATAAATGTAATATGATTTGAGAACAAAGAATGAATTCGCGGAATAAAAATTATGAGATAATTTCAAAACTGAAGATCAAGGGGATGACGAAAGAGTGGATGCATTCAAGTTATTGGGATGGATTCTGATCCCGGTCACCCAACGTCTCTACCATCAGTTTTGTTAATCGCGCTGAATCTGTCAGTCGGCTACAACGTAGGACCAGGCACATATATGCATCGATCCAAGTTTCCACATCTCATTAACACAAAAACATCAGCACCAAATTCATAGAATTAGTTACTTCAATAATAGTAATATATAAAAGAAAGATTGTATATAAGGATATAATACAGGAATAAACAATTAGTTGGTAGAAAGAAAAGCTTAAAGTAATTTCAATCTCCCAGTTTAAGTGAAGACAGAGAGTGTATATACCTACGCTATTGTGATCGATTTTGAGCCATTTCACCCAGAGCCTCCAACCATTGGATACGATAACCGTGGTTTCAAGGGCTGATGTCACGTTTTGGTTTGATCGCCCCTAACTTTCTTCCAACCATTCCCAACAATAGTCAGCATTGTACGTCGTGGTAATCGATGTTCAAACATACGTAACAAGTGATCCAACCATCTCAGTCTGTGAATAACCATAACCTCATCAACTGATTTACCATCGTTCCTTATTACCCTGCGTCTAACCTCACTATTACCTACCCGGTGATCCCGGTAGATGCGAGCAACATTTCTAAGGCATCTGTGGTCAAATACTGGTAACTTACGAGTACCAGAAGACTGTATTTTATCAGCGTTTTCACCAAACAGGACTATATCATCTGCGTATTCTAAGTCCGTAAGTAGACCTCCTGGTAGGAGATCACTTCCTAAAAAATTCAGTTGACGAGAACGTTGTTTCCATCAGTATGTCTATGATGAAGTTGGACAAAATTGGAGATATTGGACAGCCTAGACGGACACCACTTGAGGTAGAGAAGATTTGTAGCTCAGGTGGATGAGTTTGTTGGAGTTTTGTTCTCTGAGCTAGAGCTCAGAGGGGTATTGCTTATGAATGCAGTGGTCTTGAGTGCTGCTAAAAGTATGAGGGTTGTTGTCACTTTCCGGATGCCCATACTGTGGAAGGGTTCTTCTGGAGGTACCTGAAAAGGAAACTGGGTTAGAGTTGGTCTTAGTGACCTGAGAGCGTGAACGCAGTGCCCAAGGGACAACTGCTTGAGGTCGGTCACACACGACCTTTTGTGGGTAGTTTTCGTTCTAGCTCCGTGCTTGTTGGGCCTTTACTGCTGCAGACGGAGATCCATAGAATTAAGACGAGGTGTGCATTTTTAGGGTCGATATTTTCTAATCTCACCCCTTCTTGTGGGGCAACAACATCGTCGTTATGCTGGTTGTCTGAAGGAAACACCTTACTGCTGTCACACTTCTGTACAGTCAGCAGTACGACTTTGCCCTCATACCTTGGGTTTGCTGCTTTTAGTCCTACCGCCCTTGAACCGACCTGTCTGTCGTGGTAGGGCCTTAAAAAAAGATTGTTCCAGCCAGCAAAACTCTGTTGGTTACTGTTGTGGATGCGGAGGAATGGACCAATAATTATCATGTTAAGTCCAATGGTGTCCTTGGACTTTAAATGGACATTTTCTATTGGTCGGTATCTGTTCACTCGTTGAATATTGTACAAAATGTTGTTTTCTATTTTATGGTACGATGTGGTATGCTTGATTGGTATATAAACAAAGTATGTTTGAAATATAATGATTCATATCTCCGAGGCTGACTTGTGTTCTGGACTCAACTAACTGGGCTAGATAGGGAACTGGGACCAATCGAGACTCTAGGCCGTCCGTACGTGTCTACGTGTCACTGTAATCGATCGATAATTACGCTGCTCTCTAATTTTCCAGTCAAGGATACGACAATTAGCACAGGGTAAAAATCGACCACCGCAACTTAAAGCCATAACAGTTACGATAGGCAAGCAGGACCACCACGTAAAGGTAGCAGCAACAGTCGGGTAATCGTGCTGAATCTGATGTAGTTTGAATATAGCTACACTGCTCAGTCCAATAGTCAAAGACTTCACAAACTGATCTCACTGTCATCATCAACTACTATATCGAGTCAAGGCACCCAGTGGTTGAGTATACGTAATCTATGTCGAAACCACCTCCATCGATGAAGATTCACTACCTCATTAAGTTATTTATCACCCTCAGTCTAACCTTAGCATTGTTAACTCAATGATTCCATCATAACATAAACAATACTTCGAAAGCATCTATCTATGTAATCATGTCGACAATAGTTCATATTAAGTAAAACTTTTAGGAAAAAACTTATCGTTTTCAGTTATTTTTCAGTCGTTTATCTCTTTTTCTCTTCTCAATAATAGCTATGGACTTGCAGCTAAATTATTTGCTCGTAGTTCTATACCGTTTGAACAAATTGCATTACGTTTTTTTCGTTTATCATCATCATCATCATCATCAACAACACATACAATAGATCTTTCATCAACCATTATACCATCTACATTAATTCAACAAGGTTATGAAATTAATGATGATCATGATATTATGGAAGCATTAATTATTCAATCAAAACAACAACATCCAATCAATGACAAACTAACAGGACTAATTGATTCATCTATAAAACAATGTAAATCATTCATAACATCAATCCATTCATATAGTAGTACATTGACACCATTGAAAATATTTTTATCATCAAAATTAGATTATTTAATAGAACAGAATAATCAAATAATAAGTAATATCAATAAACAATCAGTAGTAAATTTATCAGGTCAAATAATTTTATTAGCAATTTGGTTAATAGAATTATTAATAACTGAATTAAGTGTGATACGTGATCGTCTTAAAATGATAACAAAATTGGATCATAATAATGATGATCTTGATGAAATAGTTAATGATAATGATCAAAATAACAAGATGATTAGTGATGGAAATATTACCGTTAACAATAATGATAATTGTGATGATAAAGTTAAATTAACATTACAAAATCGTCTAGCTTCTGTACGACGTGAATTTCGTACAATCATAGTATTACCGGAAGTATTGGTAAGTAAATAGTATACTTTGAGATATAATCTAAATTGTTATATGATTGAGATCACGAACTGATTGATGTTAGATCACCATTGAAAACCTCGCTCGAATCCCGCGAGCGAGATCATGGATACGCACTAGTAAGGAGTCCCACAATAGGACGAAACAACCGTCCAGTGCTTCCAGGTTTTCAATGGTGGTCTAACATCAATCGGTTCATCATCTCAGTCAAAAACTTAATAATCTTCACAACCCTATACTGATAAACTGTTATATATCATTGTCAAATTATTTTCTAAATCTTCATTTTGAAAAGATAGTTTATGTTATGAATTAATTATCTTTCGACATTGAAAATCAGACAGCATTCGACATTGATCTATAACTAGTATGAGATTTCTCATCGTTATGTATCTATGATGCTGCCCAGAGAGTGTACGTCGTTACTTTTAGACCATTCAGTTATCATCCAATAGTTTTCATTTCAAATTTGTTATATGCTTGATTTTTTTCAATGGCTCATTCTTATAAATCAGTTGTACGATTCTGTGTATCAGTGGATATATTAGTCATAAATGTAGAATTAATTTTTGACATTTATCTTATATCATTCCGTTGATCATCTTCTGTTTTGTGTCTATTGAACTTTACTGGAACATATCTGTATTCACAAGGAAGAATTTTCATAAGCTTAGTTATTTACGGTGAGTAAAGCTTATTCGGGTGTTATACCGGTAACTACATATGTTATTTAACGAACTTCTAATTATTAAACCTCAAGTAGTTTTAGAATAATCGTCTATTTATACTTCCTGTTACGTAATAGCTTTGTAACGTGATTGATAAACATAAATAATACACCAACAAAAATACTCACTCCTCTCCTAATAACACGCTAATCTAATCTCCAACAAATGAACTCTGAAGTGTTTTTAAAAGCCCTCCAATATGTATTCAAAATTCGGTATTGTATCCAACTTTACCTAAGCTGTTTTAAAGTTTCAAAAAACCTTATTCACCTTTCTTTATGCTAATGCCATAATCATTCCCATATTACATCAATCATTTGTAAATATCTCAATTACACAAGTGGACTGTGGTCTCCCGAGTTGGTCAGTGATAACATCTCAGATTGTGAAACCATGTAACTCGGCTTTGAGCTCTGTATAAAGCATTAGTTCCCTAAAAATTGTAGGTACGCTTTGCTGTTGACAAGTACTGACTAGTACGAGACCTAGATCAAGCAAAGTTTTCATTCGAATACCTGAAATTATGAATGCTTATCGCAGAGGCTTCCGAATTCCCTGGCATGGTTGAGGGTGGGAAGAGTCAGCTCTCCCTCTCGAAATACGCTCACATGGACACGCGTATACAGCGATTACCAGAGAAGTCCTACTCACTGCCTTCTCTCGATCGAGGTGTTGTTTACGAAATTGAGAGGAAAAAAAGAATGTCCAACTCTCTCTCTTCTATTCTTAGTCATGTTGTTTGGGGTCCGCGCGGTTATCGTATCCAGTGGTTGGAGGCTCTGGGTGAAATGGCTCAAAATCGATCACAATAGCGTAGGTGTATACACTCTTTGTCTTCACGTAAACCGTGAGGTTGAAATTACTTTAAGGTTTTCTTTCTACCAACTAATTGTTTATTCCTGCATTATATCCTTATATACAATCTTTCTTTTATATATTACTATTATTGAAGTAACTAATTGTATGAATTTGGTGTTGATGTTTTTGTGTTAATGAGATGTGGAAACTTGGATCGATGCATATATGTGCCTGGTCCTACGTTGTAACTGACTAACCAGGATGATGGATATAGAGGATCCACCTAGGAGAGTTGGAAAACTACAATTCCAAACTATTGGTGCACACAGGCTCCACGATCCTAACGGAACAAATGACATATCAACCTATTCTTGATCACCGAATACTATGGGACTGCATCTTCTAACGTTGCTCCACTGCCTTATGGATTAGACCTCTAGATGAAAAGCTCTTTTAGTGGCCCTCTAAGAAAACCACCTGCTTTGATTTGTTCACCTGAGTAGTGTCTCAGCGCTCACAAAAATCGAATGATTTATGTGGTGTCTGTATAGTTGGTGCCTCTTTATACCAATGTTTATGTGTTTAAATAAATAAATAACCTCAGAACAGTTTCAGTGTACATTCCTTTTATACTTGGAAACTTTAAGTATTATGACTGTATTTTGTTTTGTCATAGAAATATGAAAATAAATGTATTTCTATGATTTTCTATACATCTCTATTAGAATTTTTTACCAGAAGCAAAATCTTTGATATACGATTTACTAGAAAATCATGGGGAAAATGATGAACTTGTTTATTTTATGGAATTAATGAAAGGTAAATCATTATCATCCATAGTTCTGTTTTGTTAAATCATTCAATATTCAATGAATAATTTAAGTAATACAATAAGGAATTGAAATTTTTTGATAAATCTTCTAACTGCACACTTGAATCTATCTATTTCCTAAGCTCTTTTAATAGCCCTAGGCTAGTTCTACACGACAAATTGAACACGAGAGAAAAGACGCGTAATAATATGGAAAGAACTGTTTACTCCAAGGTTAATTTATGTACAGAAAATCTTGGGTGTTTATAGCATTTTTAGACGAGGTTTTGCTTGTGGAAAGTTCTGGAACCCTACCACGCACGGTAGCAGTATAGTTAGGTAATCATCCAATGAGGAATGTGTCTCGTGACTCTTTAGTTTCTAGATGTTCCTGAGAGAGTTCTACTGAATGGTGATTGGATAACATGTTTCCTAGCATTTTCAAGGTCGTTTTGGTCTTTTTTCGAAGAGGTTTTTGGGTCCCCTAAGAATTTTCAACCTCACTGTTTTTGTGTTACTGTTACTAGTATTATCTTCAAGTTGGTTCAATAGATGTAGGTGAAGCCAGTATTCAGTTAGAATTTGAATAATTTAATTTCTAAATCACTGGTAATCTTAATCTTATCTAAAGCATTTGTGTAATGGTCTGTAAACCTAATTCTTAGACGTATAAAAACGGTTTCAATTTAATTACGTGGTTTCTAATCAAGTATTGGGCTACATTATCTATAATTACTCTTATGTAAACTTATTATTATCAACTGATTATTAGTTATTTGTTAGATTTTTAGATTTTTCTGGACGTTTTTGAGGTGTATTGTTAAATGTAATAAAATAAAATAACCATACTGAGGTTCACTATGTAATATTGCATATTACTTTTAATGGATAAGGTTAACTCTAAGTTTATTTGTACTAAGAAATAATAATAATTACGCATTTTAAATGAAGTTCTATCAGAAGATATTCAACAATCATCCAACTCTTAAATAATGCTCGTGAACCGCGAACTTGGGAAAAGCAGGATGAATTCAGACTTGGACCTTGATGTATCGATCAACTAATTACTGCTCGTTAGGTTCTAAAATATAATCATAATTACAAGCTCGCAAATATCATAATATTTCCTTACCATAGGGCGGTATTCGACTCTGTTGACCGAGAGGTTTTGTGGTAGTTTATCATTGGAAAGCGTACCAAAAAAAGAACATAAATAATGTGTAGGCTTTTTGAGACTTTTAAATCTGACTCCAATTACATCGTATGATGATGTTATCAAAATATGCATCCTGGTTATTCCTGTATGTAATTATCGACCTGAGTCGCGTTAATGAATAACTTAATAAAATAAGTCAAATACAAGAATGCATTTTGAATACGTATAATTTGTATGGTCATTGTCCCAGACAGACAATTAGAGAGATTAAGTGGAGAAAGAGAAATGGAGAGAGATGTCAACTCATTTTGTTATGGTGAGATTCAGTATTTATAGTCAGACAAAAGTAAGTTGCACACATATGATGGGTATCATAAGCAATGCACATACATACACTCATATAAAAACAGTCAAGGTTAATAAGCGAATAATTGACAAGGTCAAGATGTGAAGAAAAAGAAGAATGAATGAATAAACTCGTCTATCCGGAAGTTAGAATAACCTATCTGGGATTTACTTGGTACTAAACACTACAGACTCGTCCTTCAAACATTAGTGTTCGAGTCAGAGCTTATGAATTGCCAACCTCTTGTGGTGTCTATCAGGGTTGCCCACCACCCTGTTTTTATATAACTACATCATAGATGTCCTCCTGAAAATCGAAGTTTCACCTAACTTTGTAGGGATAGATTTCTTACCAGGACGTATACTGATCAACTGAGATAACACAGATGGTACAGTCCTATTTAGTGAAGATGTTGATGTGGTGGAGAGTCTTCTAAACACTTTAATTAAATATACAACCGTCTTTAAAGTATTTCTTGAGTGTTGTGGAATGGTTAAGCGATAAATGCTAAGGTTAAAACATAAGCCACTAGACAAAGTTGGCAAACCGTTCTATGATGCGAATCCTCATCATTTGAGGTGGTTGGGATATGTGTTGCGTCTGTCCAACCACCACGATGTTAGCTGGTGTAGAAATAGGTTAAGAGAAAGCTAGAACCGGTCAGATTGAGACAATGACATTAGCCCATGAAGTATTTCATTGTGGGATTGAGTGGTGTAAGTATATGTAGACTACTTGAATCAGGTCTACACGGTTATTTGAATCAGTGGTTGAAAGCGTCTAGTAATATGGCTCATAATCAGTTACAATAATGCAGATGAATTCACTTGTCTTCCCCTAGATCTTGACTTTTAGTATTCCTTCCTACTTACCACCTCATCAAAATATATTTCTGTTGTTTGTTCTAAATCGATATCACTACCGTGATTACTTCAACTCTTTCATCTTATTAATTTTATTTCCTTGTACTAAGGTGAAATAAAAACCTGATCTAACTCACATTATTCCAATCCTTTATGTTGATTATGACGGTATAAGTGATATCAATCTTCCCGGTACACCTTTAGGTCATTGTAGTCATAGGGACATATGTACATCGGATCATTTAACTATCGAGTGTTTTGGTTCTGATTATCATTCTTATTTGCGGAAAGTATGTTCACAAACCTTCAGGTATTTAACTACTTGTCATGATTAGCTACCGATTACCGTGACCTTTGATGTTAGTTGTCACAAGTAGATGGTTGAAAATAAGGTAAGGGCCTACTTAGGTCTTTAGTGCAGTCGAAGTTAATTCCTCACCTTTTCTTTTCCTATAGTGGATCTTCTCCCTTTTTGTATTTCTGTGAGGTATATTCAAATGCATCTCATATCTTTACATTGACAATGACTACCTAGAACTATTTCTCGTTATTATAAAATACATAGAATTAAATTTCACCATACTGGTACGGTTAATGCCGGTAATTGTTTTCAATTGTTTAACTGTATATTTGTTCACTTATTCGGATTTCTTTCTTTTGTCTTTTTTTTCTCATTTATCTCATTTTGAAAAATTAGATTATCCTCGTTTAGTGGATCATTATATGCGTCAATGTATGTACAGTGATGCCTTAAAAATATTAGCCACCTATCCAAACTGTTTAAATCGACTATATGATCATGCATCATGCTTAGCTAGTAAATGTCCGGAAGAATTTGTCAATGTATGTCTTCGTTTAAACAATAAATTGGATATTAATCGGTTAGTAATTAAAACTTTCCTATTCTTTTTAAAAAAAATGTACGTTTTGACGTAAAATTAGTTTAATTTTCAGTATTTTCGACCAGTGATTATGTGGTATAGCTTGTTCTAAATATCAAATTCATTTACTTGGCCTGTATACTCTAAGTTTGAGGTTGCTCATACTGAAGTAGGTTCAGTGGGATTCAAACTTACAAATAAGTAGTTGAAAGTCGAACAGCTTGAATGTTATAAGCCACCGTTCTCTATCTGGTAATATGATTCACGTTGGCCACGCGTATATAGCCTCTGCCTTCTCGCGTCCAAGTGTTGTTTACGAAATTGAGAGGACGAAAAGCGAATGTCCGGCGCTTTAACCGGGTTGGTGGACATGGAGAGTCCACCTAGGGGAGTTGAAAAACCCTGATTGCAAACCAATGGTGTACATGGACTCCAGTATCCTTAAGGAACAAATGGCGTATGAAACACTTACTGGTCACCGGCTACCATGGGACTGCATCTCCTTACGATGCTCCACTACCTTGTGGATCACACCTTTAGGTTGAAGGCTCCTAAGAAAACCACCTGCTTCGATTTGAACACCCAGGCAGTATCACAGCCCTCACACAATTCAAATGAGATTTGTGTGGTGCGTATGTATTTGGTGCCTCCTTGTGCCAATATTTATGTGTTCAAACAAATAATAATAATGATTCACGTTTGAACTATTATACTGTTTTTATTGTTGTGATTATCTAGCCAACAATAATAAATTAAAACACAGCATAGTGTTACTCAGTTTCATGTTGTTACAGGGGCAGTGAATTAGAATGAGAAAGATACGGTGTCCTGCTTGTACATTTGATTTCAACAGCTTTGTGGTAGTATCACAACACATCTCACACAAAACAGTGCAGTATAAAGCTGATAGATCTTCTAACTGAACACTTGCATCGGTTTCCTAAGCTCTTTTAATAGCCCTAGGCTAGTTCTACACGATAAATTGAACACGAGAGAAAAGACGCGTAATAATATGGAAAGAACTGTTTACTCCAAGGTTAATTTATGTACAGAAAATCTTGGGTGTTTATAGCATTTTTAGACGAGGTTTTGCTTGTGGAAAGTTCTGGAACCCTACCACGCACGGTAGCAGTATAGTTAGGTAATCATCCAATGAGGAATGTGTCTCGTGACTCTTTAGTTTCTAGATGTTCCTGAGAGAGTTCTACTGAATGGTGATTGGATAAAATGTTTCCCAGCGTTTTCAGGACCCTTTTGGGTTAGCAAGTCAGCGTCTAGGCGTTTATTTACAAGATTTATCATAGGATATATATTTCCAGTGAATTACAAACTATTTTAGAATAGAATAATTTCATGTCCAAATGAGGACCCTATGAACTAAGTTTTTGCGATGGTTTCCAGAAGTCTGACAAAGCCTCCAGAGTTTCTGAAGAAACCTAAGATATTCCGTCCAATCAGAACCTGATAGAACCTTCTAGACTGTCAATATTACATTCTCTTATTGCACAATTGTATACCTTCTCTTTTTGTGGATTGTCTTGATTATGATGATGTTATACCCAATACTAAAAACTATAAATACACCAATTTTCCATTCATTCTTGACACTTACCCAACAATCGCTTCCTTTGCTTTTTCTATTTTTTGATTTGCAACTGTGGCGTTCTACACGTTCGAGTGCCGATTGTCGTACAGCGTATTCTGCCGTAATCAAGCAGACGCTATAACACTAAGATAATTTGTTCACTAGAAATTTTTTTCTTTGTGTAAACAAGTAATAAATCCAATTTTACTAAACTTGACTTTTTGTATCAGCTATCCGTAGCATTATTAGGTTTTTATTCATTAAAGTGTTTGTTTAATGATAATAAATCGAGAAGCTGAACAGATAGACTTCATAACTCCGTTAATTTCTTTTCTGGTGGTAATCTGTTAATTCACTGTTGAGAGTCCTGGTTTGTGACTCCTCAGCAGTGCGTATCCATGGTCCTGCTCTCGGGATTCAAATCCAAGACCTTCGTTCTCGCGTGCGAACGCTCAACGTCTAGATACCTTGTGTTTATTAAGAACTTTTGCTGAGAATAGTATAAACACCATGCTTGTTATATAAGTGATTAATTACCCGAATTCGGTAGCAAAATGTACTAGGTTGGAGTTTCAATGTAAATAATACTTTAGGCGTAGGTACATCCATGTGACTAGTCTCAAATAAGACCGAATTCACATCCTGGTTTTCACGGCTAGTCTAAAGCCATTTATTTTTTCTTTAACCATACCAAACATAAAATCACCAATTTAAACATTTTAACTAAAAGTATAGTTAACAATTGAACTCAGTTGAATATCTTCTTCAATCTCTGGATGATTGTTTCAAAACATCTGAATTCATTAGTGTTTAACTGTATACTGGATTAGAAGACCATTGATCATACTTCTCAACAACTTAAGTATTATGAACAGACGAACTTGGTTCCAATATTTCTTTATCCTCTCTTTTTTCCTGTTGTTTTAAAAATATATCTTACTTATTAAAAGTTTTTGACATAATGTAACTAAAGGTGTCATAAAACTGAGACATATTAGTTGAAAGTTAAGTCATTTAGCTAGTCATAAGTAACTTTGAATCTGACACAAATGTGTATTGGTTCAAAATGTCACATTATTTATGCTCAGAAAGTCATGAAACAAAATTGTAAACTTACAATCCAAATAAAGTTGAAATGTGTTTACATTTAAATTGTTTCAATTCCAATTTCGAGTCATATCATCCAGTGCTATAGAGAGCCAAAAGTCAAAAATAACCTAAAGGTCAAGTGCATTTTGTTGGGGTCAATTCTCCAAGTAGTCAATTGGGGTGGTGGTGGTGGTTAGCACATAGCAAACTATGTACCAATATCAGATTTCGGATACCTCATGTCAAAACATCTATCTTCTTCAATCGATGATTACAACTATAGTACAAACCTTAACCAGTTAGTTAGCTCCCACTTATCTATAGAGGTTATTTTAACAGTCAATCATTTTAACTAGCTGTTTAAAAGCGAATTCATTGAAGCATAATATTTTGAATATAAAACGTATTGGTTGGAAAACAAATCAACAAACTTCAATCTGTAATCGCCCAAAACTGTTACTCTATTACTACTTCTCTTGGTCAATTCTCATTCATCTTATTTTTACATAATTGTAACTTATTTGTCTCGTTTCTTCTTTTTCTTTCCCCTTCTTTCTTATTTCTTTATAAATAGACTTCTACCTTCAATTATGTTGTTACCAAATAATTGTGCAATAAATTACTTAGAAGATACTATTGGAATATATACCAATAAAAATATATCAAATCAAGCTGTACATCATATGCTTATTTCATTATATGCTAATGAATATCATTTAAATCATAATGATGATAGATTAATGAAATATTTAGAAAAATTTAGTATCCAAGCAATTCATATAAGACGTTTAAAACAACAACATCACCAAAATATTGTCGATAATGGAGATTTATTCAATGATTATCAATTAATGAATATGGATTTAACTGAATTATCATTGTTAGAACATGATAATGATACAGTGAATGATTGTTCTACCGGTAATGTAATGAATAAACTAAAATGTTTAACAAATCAACATCAAGAACAAGATATCCAGTCATGTAAGTTAATACATTTTGTGTGATATGTTTCTTGGTGGACACAGAGAGTCCGTCTAGGGGAGTTGAAAAACCCTGATTCCAAACCAATTATGCACATGGGCTCCAGTATCCTAAAGGAACCAATGGCGTATAAACCTATTGTTCGTCACCGGCTACCATGGGACTGCATCTCCTTACGATGCTCCACTGCCTTGTGGATCAGACCTTTAAGTCTAATGCTCGGGGTATGGCTCCCTAAGAAAACCACCTGCTTCGTTTTGGACACTCGGGGAGTATCCTAACCCTCACATAAATCGAATGATTAATGTGGCGCATATCTATTTGCTGCCTCCTTGTACCAATGTTTCTGTGTTTAAATGAATAAATAAGAGTTTTTTTGATTATCTATACGTTGATGTTCATAATAGTGGACACTGTTGATGACTCTTCTCGAGGAAGCTTAAAAAACATTTGACTTTGAATTCATTTTTTTATTGGTTGTTTGAATAAAAGACTGATCAGTTGCAATCGGAAACATCATTAGGAAGAGTTAAACAAACAATACAAAAACGAATTAAAACTTCACTCGATTGTATAAGCTAGTGGTTATCTAAACTCAGTAGCTAAGTGGATAACGTGATAGTGTTTGTAGCGAACGGTACTCGGTTCGAGTCTCAGAGTAAACATTAACATTCGATTGACCAGTTCAAAATAGGATGAAACGCGCGTCGTGAATTCCACTGCTATCCATCATCCATCTCTGCTTATAATACTCGACCTTGAAGTTATTCAACTAGCATTTTATGGAATGCATACCCCTATAAATGTAGAATATTTTACTCCCAATAAATTCTGTTGTGTCTTGTACATGAGAACACGGACAACATTTTACTTTCTTCCTAGTTTTCACAGATCTACTTTTGAGCCCTAAACAGAAAATAAGAGATAAGAAATATGCAAAGGTCATTACTTAATTAGTTAATTTCTGCACAGAAAAGAAGTGTATTTATAGGTTAAGTGAATTTGAGCTTCTACAAGCCTCTTCTAAACATATTAAAACTAAGGATAACATCGGTCATTACCCAATCAGAAAATGACAACACCGTTGGTTATTTTCTAGAATCATTTTGGAAGTTTCGTATGAATACTGTGTTAGTCAAACGATTCTCAGAACCTTCCTAGCTTCTGGAAAAAGTTTTCAAACACTTAATGGGAAAATCTAACAGAATCCCTCACCTTACATTCTACAACGATAAGTTCCAATTAATAATCGTGGTGAAATAGAGTAGCTTGATGATGAATGCTGTTATATTCTTAGCTTATACGATTACCAAATTTAGATACGTGGATTTATACGACCAACAAATGACGCATGCACGTGAACGAACAGCATGGAGTCCCGATTAGTCCTATTCCCTACCTGTTAAGTCCAGAATATCAATCTCAGCCTCCGTGATATGAATCATATATTTAAAGCAACAAGCTAAACAGACCACACTATAATTAGAAAATAATATTTGTACAGGATCAAGCCAAAAAGTGGCTGTCATTGTGGAAGATTATAATTAATCAACTGGGCATAACTTAAGAATGGTAAGTCGTATAATAGTCCATAGGTCAAAATAATGCTTATAATAAGAGGAATATGAATATACATAGTTTAGTTATTTAACGGTTATACAATAAAAATATATAATTTTAGTCTATAAATAGATCCCAACCGTTACCTTTCATGATTCTTATCAGGATATAACAAATACATTCTTTAAAAGATTTACAGTAAATGAATAGGGTTAATTCATCTATGTACTTGTTTATTTTAAACTTAATTATTTAGGAGGAAACTTATGGATTACAAATTAAATTTTTCTACCAGGTAGTTGGAAATAGTCGACTCGGAACTCTTCTTGATTTTGTGCTGTCTTGTATTTTTCGATGGGGCTTACGTGTACTCGTCCGGTAAATAATGCCCCTCGTATAGTTCAATCCTAACGACGCAGCTTCATAGTTTGACATGCTATTCAATGAGCTATTCGATTCCCAATGAACCTGTTGGATCAAGCTACTTACAACTGACTAATCACTGTGTCATAAACAATTTCATATTTTATTCGTCTGGTTCTTCTTAGTCGTGATCGAACTTTATTGGCAAAGATCCTATTTATGCCACTTGTTTGAATGATTCAGAATTATGTGTTCTATATTAAAGAATTAGATGGTTTGCAGTTAATCTCTAAAGTTGGATAGTATTTTTACTTATTTATCGAGTTCATTTTGACTTTCTTTTTTTTTCTTCTGCATAGTGTTACCCTATGATCCTGGTTATGTGCTTCGTTTATGCAAAGAAGTTGATCATTTAAAAGGTGTACTTTATATACTACAATTATTGGATATGCATCAGGAAGCTTTACAATTAGCCATTGAATTGGTACGGTTTTATAAAATTATTATTATACTAATTTTCATTATTATAAAATTTGTTAAAATTAACATTTGGTAATACAATTAATCTATTACTAACATTATGGTTGATGCTACTTGTGTTGATGGACATAGGCAGTATGTAACATCTATCAGAAGAGGACTGCCTGGAATCAAAGGGCTAACAAGATCGGATTGATAAAAACAGAATGGGAAATAGAAAGGAATTGTGAGTTTGAAGAATCATGCAGAATGTAAAGCATATTTGATGGAAGATTTTCAAATGAAGTATTTAATGTATAGTTCCCATATTTTACCTAGATGTTCTGTAATTTTCCATTGAATTCATCTGAGCTCTCATTCATTACGGTATTACTATTGTGATGCATGCTACTAACATGGTCAGATATAAGTAGTGTGTCAGGTATGGGAAGTGAGATTCTTACTGACAGATTGTGTAAATGAAAAGAAAATAGAGGAAAAAACTGGAAGCAATTAAAATAACAGTAGAAATGAAGGAACAATGTAGTTTGAAGGACATAACTCAGAGAAGAAGTGCAAATGACATTGTTTGTGGAATGGAGAGGATGAAAAGCGAATGTCTGACTCTTTAACCAGGTTAGTGAATATGAGGATCTAATTACAAGAGCAGGAAAATCACAATTCAAAACCAATGGTCCACATGGGCTCTACGATCCTGAGGGAGCAAGTAACTTACCAACCTATTGTTGGTCA